ATTCGAGACATTTGCGGAGGAGATATGCCCACGGAAGCATTGTCAGAAAATAACCCTGAGCAACAGACGTGCAAGTTGTTTATGCAGAGTTAAAGGATGGATATAGATGCTTCAGGACAGAGAGATGCCTGCTCCTTTTGTTGCCAATATTCTGCTGCAGATAGCTAGCCCAGCCTAAGCCTGTGGAATGAAATGATATAGCCGTCGCTGGCTGTTTATTTCAGCCAACCCCCAATATTAGTTCCTTGGAAGAAGGCAGGTCCCGAGTTAACTGTCTTCCCGCTTGAGGTATAGACTACTTGTTAGCCAATTAGACTGTGTTAGAAGCCCTGGTCAGCCGCCTTGTGTTCTTGTGTAGAGTAAGTCAGGGCGTAAAATAGTTAAGTGAGTGTGCCGTGAAAATTTATCCGTCTTGAAGGGTTTTCGTGCAGCGAACCCGACCTCCAAATCTCATGGTCAGAGATAATGAGCGAAGCGATTGCAAACACTCCACACCAGGCACATGACATCTCTCATGCCGAGGGACACTCCCCTAACTCACGTATCACAAGTTGTGACTGTCGCTTCAATTTAGGGCATCTTCTTTTACGAAGATTCAGGTAATCGCGGAGGAACATTGGGCGGCAACGTGGTCGCTCCCTCATGGCGAGGACTCTTTCGCGGGGATCGGGGGGTCGATGACTTGTAGCGATTTTATTCCCCACGAAGCATTGCCTCGAGGAGTTACCGTGAAGGAGATGGTTGCGCATTCAGCTCATAAGTTCAGGTTGATGATGGATGTTGGAATTGGAAGCTCAGAGTGCCTTGGATTCACGATGTTGCGTTCCAGCGCAAAAAACATACAACAGATATTCTAAGGTGGTGTTCACCAGTCGCCCTCATATCACTCGTGCCGCCTTTATTCAGGCGTGATCAGGCCGAATCAGGGTCTTCATGGGTACTTTCAGGATGCTTCAGGGCACTTCAGGGTGGACCCACAACGGGCTTCACGTGACCCTTCATGTCAACAACTGTGCTCCCTTCACGCCTTCGCCATTTATAGAATAAGGCCATTAATACCCTGACCGGCGCTTATCTCATTCAGATCAGGATGGCGGACAGTACCATTCTCCCACAGCACTGGCTCTTGTTGCTGTTCAACCTGGCCTCAGACATTTCTCCAGGGGCTGTTGCATTGCCAGTCTGTCAACCTGTTTGCCCAATTTCGACAGAAACTGAAGGCTCCAATGGGAAAACAAGCTTATGACCCTCTTGCTCGGTTTGACCAGACCGTTGATCTCAGCGATGAAGACAATGAGGTAGTCTTGTGTGAAGTCCTTCCGAATACAAAGAGGAAATATGCTCGAACACTGGCCATCTTTGATCAGTGAGTGCCTGACTTTGACACCTGGGGTGAAAATATCCTGACTACTCCCTTGCAGTTTTGTGAAGCACCACCCTAAGGCTGCAGTGCCACCTGACATCAGAACATTCAAGGGCTTCTTGCGCGTGGTTGCAAATTCCATTCCTGGTAGACTTGATGCCAGCAAGGACAAAAGGCCTACTGTTGAAACCATGGAAGGTTTCCGCCGGGACTTTGAAACAGCATGGGCAAGGGAACGGAAATATGTTTTCCCCACTGAGGTCTCAACAACCATGAAAGAGGTATGCTTATCTTGGTGGTCTTAGCTGTGAGTTCCTGGCTGACATTGGACAGTGGATACGGACAAAGTTGAAGGAGGAGGTTCCGTTGTGTACAGAGGAAATGGACAAGAGTGCCTTCTCTCCTAATGACCTTGTGGTGACAATGGTGCAACTGTGGTGCAAAGATTATCATGAGTACCGTGGCAAGTACAGCGATCGGTCCAGGGTACAGCTCAGTTTTGCCTTGCTACTTTACTGCTTCACATCTGCCCGAACAGGTGAGGTGCATGAGTCCACGGCTCGCAAGCACAACTCTACCTCTGCCTCCGCGTGCTACAAGGTCAGTTGGCTGAAGCATGCCCACTCTCTCACCTCAAGATGGCTGACAGTTCAAATAGCACTTTCGTCTGACTTTCCAAGCAGTTGATGGGGAGGCGATGCTTGTCTTATATTATCTGCGCGAGCATGTGAAAAATGGCTGGAAAATGCGAAGATGGGAACTTCCAGTCCACGCTTTCTATGAGGTCTACAGTGAGGACACAAATCTTCTCCTCAACCCCCTAATATACTTTTTGCCTCTGGCTTGCAGTGATGGTGCGCTGCGCGACTATCAGTCATTGGGGCAGCTGTTAGATGATTTGGAAAGTGGCTTGCCTGAGGGTCAGCATGTACTTGAGTTGCCCTTCAAGAAAGATGTTTGTGACCTTCCACTATTCCGCCCTTTCAATGAACTGGACAGGGAAAGATCCACTGGGCGTGCTCGAGGAGCGGATTCTTTTGGCAAAATGTTTGCTGCACTTGGCCACCGGGCTGGCTTCATATGCAACATTACTGCAAGAGCTTGCCGCCGATGGGCACTCATGGAGGCTGGTAAGTTCATTATAGACAATGAAATCAAATTCTCTACTTACAAGTGGTAGATAAGCATTACTCCGAAGCCGCCAGAATGAAGTTCGCATCCCAGGCATCTTCCCATGTCTTCGGAAAATCATATGCACATCCCATTAGTGAAGTGGACGGTCAAGCAACTTACCTTGGAATTGCCCGCCGAGAGTCACATATCAAGAATGGTCGGGCCATGACCATGCACCATCATCCACAGCTGTGGCGGTCACTACCAGCCAAACTTGAATTCGAGTTTGAAAGTCGAGAAGATATTATCCAGCTCAATGGCAAGATAGAAAACCTAGCGCTTCAGATACCAGCAAATGATGCCGAACAGCGTCAGATTCAGAGCGAGCGGCAATCCCTCTACAATCAGAAAAATCGGCTGTATATGGAAGCACTCCGACATCAGCAGAAGGCACAGCCAACAGGACTTCTGGAGTCTGGCAACCCACAGCCGAAAACGGATGTTGATAAACATACCTTTTTTCACTATGCTCGGCGTGTCATGCCCGAGCGCGATCTTTTGGCTGATGCCCTGCTCAAAGAAACAAATCCTCGTAGTAAGGATGGTCGCGCTGTGCTTCTCGCACTGGAGGCTCTTTGTAGCAAAAACACCCATATAGCTTACCGCCCAAGCCTGAGCCCCAAGGATGGACTCTGCATCTGTGGCAAGCCAGTCAGCAAGTATAGTTTCCCTCATGCACCCTATTGTTTATGTTGGCTGACTATTGTACTAGATACCAGCGCCATCATCAGTGGCCTCATCTGTACCGATGCTTCAGGCAGCGTGAAATGGCCTTAGGTAGCCAAGATTTTGGGGAACTCTGCCTGGAGTGTGATCTTTGGTTCAATAAGCCTGCTGAGTGGCGACTCCACTGTGCTGAACACCTTGCATCAACTGATCGACTTCCTCTCCGCTGCGACATTTTGATGTTTCGAAATGCCCCAATCCATGCTGGATACTGTCCTTTCTGTATGGGGAACCTACGGTTGAACCCAGAAGAGCGACTGAAGCAGTACCTTTTCGACCAAGTCAAGTGGTATGAACATATAAAGGAACATGTGGAGGCTATGAAAATAAACTCTGTTTTCATTTGCACCCATCCTCATTGCCTGTCACAACTTGTTAGTGCTGAAGAGCTGTGGTTCCACCTTCAGGATGTCCATTGTGTAAAGGAGCCAAGGAGATGGTCGCTAGCAGCTAAGAGATCCCGAGGGTTAGCAACCGTGGAAACTCAACAATTTAAACGCCCCAAATTGGACTGCGTCCCTTGACCTACATCCGCTGCATCAAAATTATGGACGAGATTGGAGAGAGGAGGTGAAGTTTGGATAAATCATAGAAAGGATCCTATCTATTTCCTCTTACATATATTTTGTGTTGGAGTTTCTGGCTGATGGCTACCAGTTCCTTTTCCTGTCAAAGATTCTGATATTTCAGTACGAGTTATGGAAATCTGTTACACGGCAGCGTATCAACCGAATCATTTTCTAGCACTGTTCATATGATGAACGGGTGAGCTGACCATTTGCTCCATAGATGCACCGGCATTGAGTGTTAACTGCAAACAAAAGACAAACTCAACTTTTCCTAGAAGTTGCACAAAGAACATTTCCCTGTGTCTAGCCACACAGCTAATATACACCAGCATCAAACTAGATGGCTCATGGTGCCTCCGTCTACATTTCTTGTTTTATTCCCTGCTCAGTTTCACCCAGTTTTTTTCAATTTCGCATCTTCTCGCTTCCTAGTGGTCTCGTACACGCACTCCGCACATGAGATCAATTCATGACCACACATGTTACATTCACCATTGTTTCGTGTGTTTTCCTTACACCTGCAGCAATAGCTTCTGCGAACCTGCCGAGGGGGTTGCTGAACATAATTTGGACCATTTCGACGCAGCTTGTCCAGCACTTCTTTCAAACGCAATTCTTCATCAGTTTGGTCGGACCGTTCGCGTTTGTTAGGCTCCTGAGCTTCTCGAAGTGCCCCGGTACTTGTCCTTTTTCGTACCGGCCGTGTGCATGGATTCAGTTGCTGAGAGGGGTCCATCTTGTTTGCTTAAAGCATGTTAGCAGATTATCTTGGTGGAATCTTTGCTTGTTGCTCACCGTTGCGGAGTTTTCTTCAGGCCTATTTTGTGTTTTTCCAGCTTGATAACAGCCTACATGTTTCAAAGCATTGTGAGAGATGGCAAATAAAGCTTTTATATTAAGCTAGATGGTGAATCAAGGAGCAGCTCTTAAGCTTTACAATATACCTACTGGGGCACCCGGTCCCTCATTGCTTTACTCCTCTTCCTTTGGCTGACAATAACCATGTGCCCTATATCATTGAGCATTACGAGCACAGTGGCCCCTGTGAATCTAGTGATTTTGAATGTAGCCGTGGCCCACCCTCAAACCATACTCCCACTTACGCGGTAACTAGGTGCTTGAGCGTAGGAAACGGGAGGAAGAATTTGCGTCTCTGTATATCTCCACGTCAAATTGCAGTCGTTGCAATGGACAGGGTCCCAAGTTTCTCTTTTTGATAGGCCCCCCTCGCTTGCAAAAGCAAATCAAAGCATATGGTATTCTGGCCTGTGTCTAAGAAATGCGAGTTGGAACTTTGAAGGGCGGTAATACGGTTATCTCTCGCAAAGTCGGCCCACTTATAACACACCTAGTTCTCCATGGATGACAAGAGAAAGCAGTGATTGAATGCTGCCAAAACAACTAGCTCTAGTAGGTATTAATGTAATAATAGACTTCGTGGAAATACACGAAATCGTGACAAATCTGAAAAGTATGCGTGCCCTCCCAGGGGATTTTCTATCACTACCTAAGTAATTTTGTAATCGACCCGAAAGGGAGGGGGTCATTGTTTCATGCCTCAAGTCTACAACCTGCGCACGGCGATAACCCTGTTAACCAAACAAGTGTTTACTCGCCGGCCTGCTGTTGCATGGTCCATAGTTTGTAGTAGTGACCTTTTCAAATCAACAAGGTGCGTCATGGTTGCGGTGGCTCAACCACTCTCCCTTCATTGAGAAAGAAGATCCGATGAACGTTCTTAATCTCCCTGAGATTGTGCCTAAAGTGGATGTCAGTGGGGATAGAACAAGAGGGATTGAGCCTGACTTACGAAACTAAAATGGTGGTCCGACCATTAGCGCGTGATTTCAGCACATTCAAGATACAAGAGGCCGTTTTGTTATCCTGGCTGTTTGTAAGTTCATCCAGAAGGAAAATCCGCGCATCCCGGGTCAAAGCACGAGCGATGGCCAGTCGTTGCTGCTCTCCGCCCGAGAACATAGCATCTTGGTACCGGGTGTTATAGCCTTCGGAGCATCGTTGTATCCGGTCGTGGATTAACAAAGAGCGGCAGATATTATATATCTGGGCGTCCTCGACATTGAAGTTGGGGTATTTAAGATTCTCCATGATGCTGCGGTCACTAAAGAAGTTAGGTTTCTGGGGGACAAAGGTAATTTCTTCATTGGGGCTCTTCGAAATATCACGTTCGTTAATTTGGATGGAACCGCCTTGTGGGAAGCGGACTTGCAGGAGGAGATCCAGGATGGTTGATTTTCCACTGCCAGACTCTCCAACAAATGCAACAGTTTCGCCGCCCGGCACCCTGAATGACAATCTTCCAAGGACTTGGAATTGCTCATTGTAAGAAAAGTCCACATTTTTGAACTCAATGCTCCAGGGGCTGATTTCCTGATCAGCTACCGATCCCTTCAACTGTCGATGATAGACTGATGTTTCTTTCTCGGAGATCTCAATTAGTGAATCGACCTTCGCAAGCTCCGAGTGGATAGCATCTAGGAAGCTTTGCATGTTTTCTAGAGGCTGTCGTAATCGCGCGAGGTAAATGAACATTGTCGCAACCTCACTAATGTCACGCGTTATCATGACACAACCCGCTGGACCTGCCGTATAAACAAGGAATTTTAAGGCTTCCCTCAGAATTGAGAGAGCGGCGGGATGTTGACTGGAATTCAAACGGGCGTCAACAATGTGTTGAAATCGGGCGATCTCCTGCTCCAGCCGACCGAAGCAAATCACTGTCCGCCAGTTAACAATAGAGCCACAACAAGCCTCCTTTTCCCTTCTGCTTCTATCACGATAGACCTTCCATCTATTGTGTTGTCGGGACCGGAGCTTTCCTGAGAGGAAAATATAGGAGCCCATGATCGTTGCAAAGGACACTGCTGCCCGGCTGCCAAGTTGGTAGTATATGGAAGTAAATGTCAAAATAGTATCAAAAAGCACGGGGATAAGCATAAAAGTTGTTACCGATATAACGGCCTCGAAACTGCGGACACCCAATATCACATCCGACAGGGTGGCGGGGTCCCAGGCCTCATGAAACTCACTTGGGAGACTCATGACTTTGGCAAAGGTATTAATTTTCAATCTGCGGTCCCAATAGTGCTCTAGCGGAAGCAGCAGATGAGTCCTAGCACTCGCGATTAAATATCCGGGCTCAAGGAAGTGAAGGAATGCAAGATGATAGATCTCCTCAGGCAAGCCTGTCGACGGTTAGCCGAAAACCAATGCACCATATCAGAAAAGGAAAACAAAACATACCACTGGATTTGTTTAGTCTGCTCATCATCTGCCCAACCCTCAATGGCATCAGAACATTCAGAGCCCGTTCAGCCAGCAAGCAGAGCCCAACCCCAAAGAGTCGTAGTTGGAGTGTCGGTTGTCCTGCTGGCCAGGCATTTGTCTGAAGCAGTTACAAGAAGGAATTAGTAGCTTTCATTACACACTAATCGGGTTTAACATAACGAACCCAGAAGAAAGTAATATATCTGCGCCATGGTGTGAGTCGCTCTTTGGGGTTGAAAGAATGCCAAGATCCAAAGGCGTCAGGAGCTTGTTGCTTTGAAGTATTATTATTCTTTAGTCTTGGCTCTTTTGTCGGTATTTCTTGGCTTCCCCAAGACGTCTTAAGGAAGTTAGCCCATAGTCGCCATTTGTCAAAGGAAGGAACGTGAAACTTACAACATGAAGTGTACAAGCCGCATAGACCTTGAGAAAACCGTGAAAATAGCCAAACAAAATGGAAATTGGTATCAAGGCAATATTGGACGGGTTTCGCCTGAAATATCCTAAGAATTTGATGACCTTGGCGAGAAACATCCAAAAAAGTAGCAACTGCAATGACCGTCGATGCGCGAGAGGGTCGTTCTCTGTTGCCCTGTGGCGGAGCCATATTAATGCAGAATCAACAAGGAATGCCGGTGGTGAAAGGGTTGTCAGAAAAACAGCATAGGTGCTGTAGATGTGCCTCCTGTTTAAAGCCCGGTTAATCTGTGAGCTAGATATCGTATCTCTTTCAGAACTGACCTCCAGATAAACCGCTCGCAGAACAAGCTACGCAGGTTGCTTCTCCAGTTGCTTCGAGACCAACGGAGACATTGTTTCAGATACCCCCAATTATCCTCAAGTGTTGTCAAAACCATGGCTTCTCGATGATATTGAAAGCACATGCCCCAGGAATGCGAATCCAGCCAACGTGTGATGAAATTATCATCATCAGGGTGGAGTTGTTTGCCTTGCCAAGTTTCAGCCCCAAAGGCGTCAAGGAATTCAGGGTTCTGTAGAATCTCAGAGCGATATGCCGCGGTTCGCCCGGACATGCAAGGTGTCCCTCCATCCATATATGCGGTTGCAGCACAATCAAAGTTCCTTCGCTCAAGATACAGTGCCCCAAGGAAACTCCAGACTCGTGGCCACATGCTCTGCACCGGATCGTGCTGAAGACGCTGACATGTACCAACGCCCCCCATCTTCTCTTGCTTGAACGGCGCGACTATCCATTTGAGAAGATGGGGGGATTCCCAGAGAACATCACCATCTGCGAGCACAGTGATTTTAGTTTTGACAAGTGGGATTCCTGCCACTAACTTCTCTCTTTTGCCATATTTCTGCACTGTGGCTACCTGGAGTTCAACCCCACAGGGTCTGACTATCCCCATCACATCTTCGGCCACGCCCTGCTCCTTCTTCACAGTTACCAAAATGAGCTTCCGCGGTCCATTATTGAGAATCGACATAAGGGTCTCTGCCAGCTTTTGCCTGTTGATATTGAGGCAGGGGACGACCACCGTTACGTCTGCAGGCGCCAGCGGGCCATGGGGGGGGATCGGTTTGAGCCGATGATATGCCCAGAGGTTAACAATAAGCCGGACATATCGATAGCAGCTTGAAATTGAATGTTAGCTTAGGGTTGACGGTTTTGTCTGGTGTTGATTGGAACTTACAAAAGTGACCAAAAAGCCCAAAAGTGAAAAGGCATCATCCTGACGTTGAAGGACATGTATAGAGGAAGGATGTTTTGTGATGGGTGGACAAGGGGGAAGGCTCTGATATATATTTTCCTGTCCACAATCCTAGGATGAGTTAAATCTAATCCCATCGCGGTGTTCTATCTAGTTGTACCGGGAAAGGGATCCGTAATCATTTCATGGATATATGGAAAATACCAATAGTATACACGCAGCCCGTTTCTAGGCAATCTGCAAACGGCTCGGGTTTTTAACCTACAAAGAGAAAGAAGTTTCACGAAAGATATGCTAAAGTGTTTCGGGAAACAAATTGCTATGTACAAAAATCCATATTGATTAAGATGTAATATTTTCAAGGCAGATAGATTTTAATTAGATTTTGGCTTGAAACTGTGGTCTGCTTCCTGTGCGAGTTTCTGCCTTCTCTCACTATTGAAATTGCAGAGGTCGTCACAACTGAGTTGTTTAGTGAGGTTGAACTGAGTTTGCAACTCATCGTATGAAGCACTTTTCGGAGTGCCTTTGCTGGTAATCTTTGCGCGTGAAAGTGCTTTTGCAAAATGCACACTCATAGGGGCGCTCTACGGTGTCTGCAAAGTAATCAAAGATATACCAGGTTAGAAAACATCGAAATCTGAAAGCAACAACAACCAAGTGACACTTACGTCCACGTATATGTACTTCGACCCTGCCCCTCGACGCATATGTTTTGATACAATAGGGACAATGGAATTGAGGAGATCTATCATCTTGCATTCCTTCACTTCCTTGAGCCCGGATATTTAATCGCGAGTGCTCTTTAAAGGGGAGCATTAGGCGGACCCTGAGCATGCTTCCTCTTGAAATGTCGCAACAAATTCCATTTTCGTGCGAATCGTCGGCCGCAGATACTACAGGCATATGGGCTGTCAAAGACACATTCTTGATTGCGTTGGTGACACTGATTGCACCGACCATCCTGGGAGGGATTTGCGCCAGAGAAACGGATCTATAGCAAGGAAGCAATATCAACTAAATGCTTTACTCTCAATACTTCCTATAGGGCGACTTACCTCGCGCAATCGGCAAGAATAACATGCCGCCGCAATTCTTTTTCGGGGGCAATCACCGGCAATCTTGTCATTGGTGCTTTGGACGGACGTATTCGCGTGGTCACCAACCAATTCTGGGATAGATGCTGCTGGCCCCCTTTCCTCATCACTTCCCATTCCCCCCTCCTGGGCAAACATCCCCATCCCCATCCCACCACTACCCTTTTCTCCCCCCTTGCCTCTCCCCCCACTTGCAACAGGAATACTTTGTGTATCAAGGTTAGGCTCGTCTGATGTCGGCGGCAACAGTGGCGGAAGGGCCGGAGTTGATGTTGTGAATCCACCTTGTGGATCTGGCGATTCTGGACGTGCCATAGGGCCAACAAGGGGAAGGTATGTATCAAGATTGTACAAGGCTCCATCATAATGATCCATTGCGGCAGGAGAGATCCAAGCCAAAAGCGCATCTAATGGCAAAATCAACTCATGAAGGGTTGAATCTGCAGCCCTAAATTCCATCTTGCCCTTAAGCCTGCCCTCCATTCCGCTCTGAGCCACCCAGGAAAATCCCGAGAGAACTCCGTATTCTGGGGAGGATAGCACCTCAAACTCAGAAACCATGAAATAATCCACAAATTGTTTCTTCAACTCCTCATCAGCCATCCTAAAATCTGCTTGGGCATAGATTGCTTTCCAGACCTGTAGGCAAGTAGACTGAACGTGTTGAAACCACACAGGTTGTTGAGGCATTACTGAGAGTGCGGTTCCTAGATCCAGGGCCGAAATTTCTCGATATTCTCCAATGTCGCAGAAGTCGGGATGTACCCGTAATCGAGATATCAGCGAATGAGGGAAACATTGCTGAGCAGAAGGCTTGATTGCCCAGCGGATAAGTGCTCGGCTGGATATAGTGGTAAAGCCTAAGGCAATGCTATTTCTGAGCGGGGGTATTCGAATTGCGGTGACTTGCTGAGGCATGCCATGGTCGGAGGGGCAGGGCGGCTTCGAATTCATGTTCATTGGGACTCCCATTGTCGCTCAAGCCTGTAGCCTGTAGAACCTTGTTACTATCTTTTTGTTGGATAGAGAGGTCCAGGAGTTCTTACCTTTGCTATGTATGAACTTATGGCAGTCCGGCCAATTCCGCAGGGTAGATTCTACACACTTGAGTGAAAGTCAGATAGGTGGCGATTAGAGGGAGCATGTAGTGACAACCTCGAGGGACAAAGGCGGGAGGTTGTTGATTATGAGATTCTGGGTCTACTCGCGCTTCCCATGGGTAAGAAAATGTCTTTAGAAGTGCTGGCTGCAGGAGTCGGGCAACAGAATCCGAAACCCTGCGGGAGAATTGAATGCGTGCGCAGCATGGATTATAGCATTCCCCCAAACTGCAGCGGCCGAGAGAAGATTCTGAAAATTCGGCACCCATAACCTAACTATCACCCAGCCCCTGAAAGGGAGGGTCTCGAACCCATAGGAGCTTAGCATCAAGCGTACCTCAGTGGCGCACCCTGTCATCTTTAGTTTCTGTTTGTTCATTCCTTGGTTCACCCATTGTTCGACCTCCAGACAGAGGACCCGCGCCGCGAATATGGTTCCGACGGCGAACCACATCCGAAAGGTGGAGTAAATCAAGGCACAACAAGCTGAATGAGTGGTTCGGCGCTTCAACGGGCATGGAAGAACTAAAACCCTAAAGCCACTCTAGCAGTGTTCCTGGTCCCCTTGCGAGGACAAGCCCGAGGGAGCTGTGGAATAATGTTTGCGAAGCTGTCAAGATGAACTGTGTACATACACTGAGGCTCCTGTCTGCTTTCCCTTTCACACAAAAAAAGGAAAAAAAAGGAGAACACGCCAGATAGCAAATATGTTTCCATCCACAGTCAGGTCCGCCGTCTCTTCCCGCGAGGAGGTGAAACAGCTTCATCCTCACTGCGGCTGAACATGAGCTCCCCCATGAACGTCATGCTCCAGTAGTCTGTCCCCACGGCGCTGCGCATCTGTCGGATGTAAAGACGCCCTGATCCTGAGCGCTCTGATAGGACCTGATCCGGCGGTGGTGGGGACGCACGCTCAGTCCGGGTGCTGTCGGTGCTGTCGGCGCTGTTGGCGCGCTGGACAACTGAGGGTTTGGGGGTCAAACTTCGCTCCCGCTTGACCACCGGGCTGGGGGTGCCTGCGCCCGCAGGAGCCATGCCGGTGAGATCACCCGCCTGGCTGCCCGGATTATTATCTGCAAAGGTCTAAGGTCAGAATAACATATCTAGGCTTGACTTGGGGACTGCGACTCTTCACCCTACCTTGTGCGGAAGGGGTCGTAATTTTGGGCCCAGATGCTCTGGATGTATTCAATGCATCCACATCCGTGATGTCCTTGTCCGAGTCACCGGTCAAATCCACCACGTCGACACTGAAAGGCTGAATTGTTTCAGTTTTGGCGCTGGGCGCGAGAATCATTGAGGAGGTCGGCTCAGTAGGAGGGGCGCTCATTGTCTCAGTGTTGGAAGAAGAAATTGCGGCAAAGTCAATGGTGGATGGCCAGGATGGCTGTAGAGGCCACTGAAGAAAGGGGATGGTGATTTGGAAAGAAGTCAGCTTGAGGGGCGCAGAGGACTGCTTCCTTATATGCCTCCCTGCCTTCCCCTTGCATCTTCGCATCTTCGCATCCTCCTCATCTCCTCTCCCACGCTCGAAGCGAGGATTAACGCGGAACGGTCAAATGCTTCAATCATAGGCAATACAATATAGAAGGAAATGCTGCACCGGAGAAAGGAGATTTAGTCTGCAAGTACAACCCAATCGGCCCTTAGAACAGCCGAGAAGAAGATGGGACGGCAACTTGTCCTTGAATCGATCTCTGAAATTCAAGGGAAAAGGAATGAATCACTGCATCCTTGTTTCCATAGAGCAGCAGGTATTGTAAACCATCACCTGCGAACAAATAAAGTGAAGCCCACCCGGATGCTAAAGCAAATTTCTACAAAAACTCAATTCGTGGAACACACACTTGACTGGACCGCAAATTTCAATCCTCTTCCACGAGATGGGTCAGAAATTCGAACAGAGCCCCTCGCACAGACGAATTGCTGCACTTTCACTTAAACGCCGGGCTTCCGCACCTTCGTCCCTCAAGGCGCTTCCCAATATTTCAGTAACGGCCAAAGAACACATCGAAATTATTGAATGCTTGGAGAGGCTGTACGATGATGACATCAAAACCCTCACGAACAAAATCAACAAACTATCCGGCGACCTTCAATCGGCAACAGAGGACAACAGTCATTTGAAGAGGGCCTTGACCGCGATAAAAGTCTCCTTCGACGATAGGTGCCGGGATTTCGTGAGAATGAAAGAGGAAGTGCAAAACCAACACAGGAAGAACTGCAATTTACACCAAGAGGTCCTCGATTCCAACGCGCACCGAGAGGAGCTTCAAGAAGTCAATAGGGTGGTTTTACGCCGAGTGCGCGATTATAAGGAAATATTAGCTTGTCTATGCCAAAAGAACGGGCTCGACATCAACGAGATAATCAGATCCAGGAACAGACCTCAGTGAAGCAATTGGATATTTTGGGTTTCAACAACAACTGTGCTGGGGACATATTGAAGGGCTCTGAGGCAGAATCTGGCTTTCTCTGATGGTTTTTCTGTACAATCCAATCGCGAGCCACTTTGTTCATGGTATCTAGGGCACTCTCAGCCTGAGAAATATTTTGGCCAAAGAACACACCGAAATTGTTGAATGCTTGGAGAGGATGTATGTACCATCACTGCTGGAAATGCAAATCAATCACTGTATATCTCCTCAAGATATTCACGAAAATACAATCAAACCGCAGTTAGTCCGTATACAAAGGAGCTTTCAAACATCCTAAGCATATGTGCAGTCCAGAAAATAATCACCACCTGACGCTTCACTGCTATTCCACTATTCACAAAAGACGGTGTGTTTTTAAGGTAGTAACCACAACTTGCTTCGCAAAATAACGCTTCTTGCAGATTTGGATCGGACAATTTGTCGAGGAGCTGCTCGCCACTCTCCACAAAAGGCACTAATCTTGAGAGACTAAGAGGAGCCAACTCGAAAGCGATCTCAGCGGCTGCTGCGGCTTGCTGATCGGGGATGTGTTGATCATTAACGGATAAGATTTGTACAGCTCTTGGTAGGTTAGCATGGGAATGGCAGCAATACCCTTGGAGACTGACAGGATTTCCTTGCCGATAGCCTTGCCACCCAGCGCAAATACCAGGCCCGGAAGCCCACCCAGCGCAGCTTGTCCAGCCATGAACTCCCAACCAGACTCGCAGCGTTCCACTTTTTCTCCCTTTCTGACTCCCATCAAATTTCCCTCTATATAGACAAAATTCTGGGGCTGATATCTTCCAAGGATCGGAGATCCATCGCAAAACACTTTCCACTCGATTCGCATGCCTGTAACGGACGATTTGTCGGCAAACCCTGGTTGGTATCGATAGATCGGGAACAGGCGAGCACATTCTGCTGTTTGCGCCATGTTGAATTGCAAGCTGGATCAAACTCGTCGATGCTCTGAAGGTCACTGCGGCCGGGGACGGTACTATAACACTTCAACTGTGGACTTCTCATCAAACTCTCATGCTGTAGGTGACAACTGGGCGTGGACATGGCTGCATTCTTAAAGAAATCATGAACAGCGGTTGCCGTAGAAATGGACAAGCGAAGGCACGCTCATCCTCAATGACATTTCACATGAACGCATCCCATTTCAGAAATATCATAGCAAACTGTGTCAACAGTACATGAAGGGCTAACTCCCACGGCGGAGGCCCAACCGCAGCTGTGGGGCAGTCGCCGTTGAGTGAAGTGATGATCAGGCCCGATGGCGGTCACATATTGAGCCGTAGAGCTCAGAAATACGCCCAGGGGGAAAACCAAACCAATCGGGCTCATCAGGTACAAGGATGGGATAACAAGGCATGCTTAATCACGTGATCCGGAGCTCTCCCAGTAGTCGAACCCAGCTCCTGCAAGCCGCTGGGGAGCCGCTAGTTTCGCCTACAACAGGGTACGAAGACACCAGAACATTGAAATCCCCGCGTGTGCGACAATATTGATTGGAAGAGGATTAATATACAGGATAACGAAATTTCCCCCCCTGCATGCGAGAAATATTTTTGTCATGTGTGCAGCAAAATTCTTGCCTGCCGTTCATTTTCACTCGAAAAGTCCAACCAAAATGCATTTCTGCTAGCCAACGGAGCACTTCGCGGAATGAGCCTTGCTTGCCCGGTTTGCTGTCTGTGTTCCCTACTTGGACCTCTCTTCCAGTTGGTGTATCCGCGAGGAAAATTCGGCCGGGATGCGACTTGGATAACAACAAAAGGCTGTAATATATCATATCTTCCTGTCGTTTGGCGGGCTCTCCAACAATGTTTTGAATAACCGTCGGCAACTTCTCAAGTAGTCGTTCGACTGTATCGATACGCGCTGTCTGCGGAGCTTCCCTTGCAATGCGCCTCATTTCTCGCAACATCTCAACTGCCTTAGGTTTAGAGACGGTGTTATGGGTGATGCTTTGCTGGATGTATTGAATTCCGACAGTCAGCATGTCCTCTGTCACCTTGGAGAAGAGTTTAGTTAGCCATTTGGAACCTGTTAATAGTCAACAAGGCGATTCGGGGTCGAAAAGAAATGTAAACATACTTTAGCGAGTTCATTGTCCTTGGGTTTGATATCCATAGGCTTGAATATCTTGAAACGCTCCAGAACTTCATCGAATTGTCCAAGTTCGTACAGGCGACAAGCCATGGAAGGGGTCGGCAGGATGTTTGGAGGGAAACTGAACCTGTGTTTGCTGGTATCAACACCTTGGGCGAAAGGTCTTTATATATCTCCATCACAATCTCTAACCCGGAGGAATGAAAGCAGGTGTTAGGGGTTTGATGTTGGAGTATATTGCCTGGTTAGAGCGTAGCAGAGAATGGTAAAATTATTGGATTGAGATGTAGTTTCTCCCCCGGTAAGTATCCTCCCCCGTGTTATAAAACATAGGACATAGAACATGTATCAATTAAGCTAACTAGGCTGTTCCGAACCCTGTATAAATGCGGTTACTCGCTTCCCAAGTGCATGCACCGATGCGGATTCTGCTCCCACCTCAGCCAATCTTCTGATAGATACCCACACCTGTCGCATCCATCTAGCGGCTGAGCCGAGAGAAAAAGCAATGAATCGATTTGGCGAGTTTGTTGTGGGTGGCGGATGGTCCGTCATACCATCCACTCTGCAGCACATCGTTGTCTGTCGCTCCCAAGATTCCATCTCGCGACCTCACAGAATGCAGCTCCTGATCCTTGCGCTGCTCCGCGGGCGGCATCATGGCATGCAGGCTGGCGCTGAAAGCCTGAAGAAACGAGACGAATCCCACGAAGCGCTCTTGACCCGTTACAAACTGAAGAACCGCAAACAAAATCCCTACACACACCGCGATCATGTAAAGATGCCGGTTCATTCTCAGAATGTTGACTGGTATTGCACATGATTGCCGCATGAGATGAACGACCAGGACAAGAAACACGGCCGCATCCCACACTTGTAGCAGTGCCGTCGATACCATGACCTTCGGTTGATAGAATGCCCCGGGAGCCGCACATGTCTTGAGGAAGGTCGCCGCCCAGATGCCGTACTTGACACCGGCGTAAAGCCTTGTACGTCGGAGATCATCCGTGAAGTGCCAGTATCGGTGAAGCTGGGGCCCCCCAACTTCAGCTTCATGCAGAAAGAATGGCTAGGGCTTTCTCACCTCATACTGCGAGACGAAGACAGTCGACAGTCCGAGAAGCAGCAATCGTGTTGGCGAGTCATCTAGACGATCAGTTTATGTTTGAGATCATAGAACGTTATCCTACCATCATCGAGGACCCTCAAAGCAATGTATGCGGCCAAATTCAGGATATGCAGCGTCGCCGCAACAACCAAGATGAGATTAAATTTCCGATTGCATCCTTCGCGCCACAGTGAGACGGCAATCAGGACCGCGAAAGGGATATGGCACAAGACCTCGGCGGGGAAGTTCGCTAGCATCTCGGGCGTTCATCTAATGGTTGCCTCTTAATGGCATATTCTGGAGAGAGGCAGCCAAAGGGCGGTAAGGGTCTTTATGTTCATCACCATCCTAAAGGGAGGATATGAATGCGCCGTTGATCCTGAAGATCGGGTCGAACGTGCTGCTACTGATGCGGCGTTTGAGATCTTCATGGACGGAACGGTTGGAGGGTGTGGGTTCGACCGGTTCGTCCCACGAACCTGATCACGCAAAGGTAGGATCTCTGGATGCATGAACGATTGCCAAGCATATCCTCAGTGACCCGGGAAATTATCGAATGTTCAGTCCGTCCGTACTGAACATCCGATAATTTCCCGGGTGAAGTGGGGTTGCCAAGAAAATAGGAGATATAGCTTTGTAGGTAGCCAGCACGAATTCGGCTTCCTTTGTGATCATGGTTCTGAGCTTTAACCTCACCATGACACACAGGATGGAAGGGGATCTTTGGGTGGGTACCTTCTCAGCGTATCTCCTGGCGGGCACGAAGCTTATGGTTGTTAGCAGAAAAGCGATGTCAAACGACACTTGAACGGGCTGGTTCAGGCTTTTGAGCAACGGAATGACTCGAAAGTCGTTATTTCTTCCTTGTTGCCATTCATATTGATTGCTAATTCTCATCTAGGCGGTGGCGGATTACTTTAGAGGTGTAGGAAATGAGCTGGATCAAACAGGAGCCTTGGACTTCGAGCCGTTTCAGCAATTCTGGTATCGTCACAAACGGGTCGTTGCTTTAAAGAATGTTAAGAAACAATTATTAACGGGCACGGGGAATTCTCGGAGCGATGCATTGTATCCATCGAGACGACGGGCTGAAACCGACTTTGAAAGTGACGACGTGCTTTCCATAACCGACAATTGGGATATGGAATCCAGTAAACTGGAAAAGTTCAAGGACGAAGTACAATGGAGTTTGAGGGACGACCGAGACTTTTTCGAACCTGATCAAGTCAACACTCCGTCGAATTCTAGCAATGAACTGATTGAAGCTGAAAAGGCCTTCACTGCAGTTGAGAAAGATATAAATGGTGCTCATAGGGTATTCAGGTTGCAACTACTGGCCTTGAGACTTCGGTCGTTGAGGAGTGAGGCCACGCAACATTGTGGGGGCAGCCGCATTCCCTTGGACAAACGCATAACGACATACTTTGCGGAAAAGTGCTGGGCACACCTCGACGCAAAGGTCCAGAAAGAGCAACGTGAAAAGCTCGCGCGTTGGCGCACTTATGGGGAGAAATGGCTTGCGTTAACAGAGCCCGCGATTGTCCTGGCCTTCGGTCATATACCGAGCGACAATCGGTGCTTTACGGAATTCGAACGACGGCGTTTCCCGATAGCAGCTTTCAATGCAGTCGTCGGGACGTTGCAGGCTGCGAGTATCATCCACAATTTGAGGAGGTTGTGGTGTCTGCAATTGTCTCGGAACCGCCTTTCAATCCGGTTTCATCCAGAGCGATGTTTTTGCGAAGGTACCGATGCCGTTCTTAGTGATGAGGTGACTCTCTCGCCCGAGCCACCGGAAGAGAGGGCTGGAAGGCATAGAGATTCGATAGACAACGCGGAGCAGGTGCGCAATACTTCAAAAAGGCCGTCGGAGCTTGCGTTAGCCGCATCCAAAAGGCCTCGCTTCCAATTCCGAGACGAGGATGTCGGGATGCAAGAGATAGGGCGGGATGGGCTACTTACCTCTGCAAGTCATGGGAGGGTATCCGACACGGATGATGTTGGGAGTGAGCAGTCCTCCCCTGAGTCCAGTCCCTCGAGTGCAGCGGAACATGCCTCAGCAGAAAACTCTGTTGAAGCCATTACCCCTGCAGAGAGAACAGCTATCCCACGACCTCTAACACCATCAACTGAAATGTTGCCTCGAGTCGTACCCCATGGTAAGCGTTCAGAAAGCGGACAGGCAAGCGCTTCAACACGGGCAGAGTTTAGTCCAGAAAACAATACCTGGACTCAGGGGGAGACTGTAAGACATATGCGTACGGTCGATTCGTGCTGTAACTGACATTTTTCCCCAGGCGAGCCGGCAGACAACTTCAGACACATCAGCTTTGTCCGCCAACATATGGATACCCGGTAGGAGTGCTACATATACCTCAATACACTCTGATACATATCAGGATGTGGCAGGCAGCGGTCCGCAACCTCAGGCCGCGCCCGGATTCAACGGAATGGGTATGGATACCCGTGACGACGTGGACGAAACGCGTCCGTATAGCAATATCATACAGGAATCTGAAACAACGGCCAACCCAACAGTGGCTCCGCCTGAGTTGCCATCAGACTGCTACTACCATCCTTCTGCATTTGTGAATTTTTTTGAGACAGACGCGACCATACAGGAATTTGAAACAACAGCCGACCTGACAGTGGCTCCGCCTGAGTTGCCGTCAGACTGCTACTACCATCCTTCTGCATTTGTGAATTTTTTTGAGACAGACGCGACCATACAGGAATTTGAAACAACAGCCGACCTGACAGTGGCTCCGCCTGAGTTGCCGTCAGACTGCTACTACCATCCTTCTGCATTTGTGAATTTCTTTGAGACAGACGCGACCATACAGAGATCTGAAACACGCGAATTTTGACCTCGCAAACGCAGCCAATTCAACTAAGCAGAGAAGGATTTGTTGATACTTGACAAGGTTTCTGAGGCGTTTTCCATGCATTCAACATCCATATTCAATCATTTACACCTGTTCCCTGCCTGAATTTCTCACAAATTGTCCATGGTCCACTATTGTCTTGATTTCATTGCCCAATACCATTGTATATTCACCGCTAACTAGTAACATCCATTTCTTCAAATCCTCATGTGTAGTTGCAACCCAATCAAAGTCACCACCACAGAATAGAGCTTTCCGCTATTCTGCCTCGTTAGACAGCCCATGCAGGAGCGGCTTAGAAATCATTTCTGCGATTTTTCCGGTACTAGAACTAAGACGAAATCGGTGAATGTGTCTAGAACTTGAGAGCATTCGGAACGGATATATTGTCCGGGTCGGAGAGTATGGTTGCCTATCGAAAACTCGTGGGATAATGGGATGAAAATATTATCGAAACCACGGTCCTTCGCAATAGTTTCTCGTCCAGAGAGCCTGCACAATATAGATCCACTACCCTGAAGGGAAATCTGTCAGATAGACACTCAGGCTTGGGCAGGATATTGAAGTACCTTTTCATAAAGACCCAGCTCTTTCAGTAAGGGTTGCATCTTGTCTAAGCTGTCTTTGCCAGTATAATGCGATAGGTGTGTTCTGACTTTCTCTACATTGGCTGTCTTGAACCAGTCAGCCAAATCGTCTAACTGCTTTTTAGCGTCGTCGCTCATCGACTGTGGCTGGTTGAAACCCAGGGTTCGATCAGTGGCCATTTCTGCGATGGTCAAAACACGTGCGTTTTGTGGCTGCAGGGAAATGGGATTGAGAAGTAAATATAAAATATATATTCTCTCGACAGAATATTTGATAGTTCCGTGTTGAATGAAACGATGTCTTGAGTAACCCAATAATATATGGCGTCAACTACTTCACAAAATTCAAGAGATTCGTTGATATACTGCACGTGATAATTTTACCCCACCTTACCCTCCTACAGAACACTAGACAAGATGAGAAAATCAACGAGGGCAAGCGGGGATTCGACAGCAGGAAGGTAAGGTTCTCATGAAGAGTCACCTGATCATTGCAAGAATCATCATTCCAGATAATTTCAAGGGGGTCGCTCGTTGGGCAAGGCGCCAATTCTCATTCGCGACGAAACGGAATCAGTTGGCGAGTGAGGTGCAGACGGGTTACCATAAGGTGGGTGCTCCGGTGAAATTTGGCTGGCTGATGTTGGCTTTGCGGAAGCAAAATACATATCCATAATCATCGGTTCACCCTCGAGGACACAGTTGAAATCCTGATGCTTGGGCCTATTGGGAGGCGTATTAACAAGAGGCGCCAGCGGCACGCCAGCGACTGTCTTGTTGGAGGGCATTATTGTGTGGATCATGGCTTCTGTTTTATGCGACAATCCGGTTGTGTTTTTCTAAACCTTCGGAATTGTTTCCTGGAGGGCTTGTATTGAAGTTTCTTGCCTGCTGAATAGCGCTTGACCTAGTTCTTTTTCTTAAAAGGCTGTTGGATCGCTTGTTCACTCTCTATTGATCGCTCCCGCTTCCTAGTCGGCGGTTCTCTGTAAAATGCAGTGTTTAGCAGGCCTGAGCAAGGATATTTCAGTAACCGAAAGGAGGGCAGAGAAAGGGAAGGTAGCTCTTATGCCAATTCTCGCTTCAATGTATTGTCGCATCTCTTGGAGAGTATTATGATGCCCTTGAGGCGCCTGGTGTGCGTCTCGTTTCCATTCGGAGGGTCGCGGCGGTGATACAAGTGCGCTATCTCGTCGCGTTGGCGTATTGAAAGTGCAAAGGTCAATCGGCTGATCTTTCGAGATTATGGACATCCCACGGCAGTTGTAATGATGAGGCTTATCGTCCTTCTATATCTCGATGTCGGGAGCTTTACGGAGAACCAGTTGCGCTAACGGCCGGAAGCGAGTGTATTCAAAATAACCATCTCGTAGGCGCCCGAAGAGGGTAGCCAGCTCCGCTGCGACATCCCGGGGACCTAGCCGGAGATAAGATGCCGCTTCCTGTCCTAGCAGAATGGGGTAGCCCGCCTTGTGACAAACTTCGTTTTCGACATCATCTGATCTGTAGGCATGTTCAGCTTGCTCAAGCAGAACTCGTAATTGCTGTAATGAATCACCAAGAGGGTAGGTTTGTATGGTCTCTTCATCTCCACGGGATAGGGTAGCCATAGCAGCTAGAACGGCGTTGCCATGCCATGGCAGCTGCGAGATTAAAGTATAATGATATTATGCTTATTGCAACACTACAAGATGATTCTACGAAGCAGTGATATCATGGCAGCTGCAACATTGCAAGCAAATAATAACTGAAGAGCGGTAATATCGGACCAGCTGCGACATTGGTAGTCAATAATACTACGCTGTCTGGCAATAATTCAATAGCGTTTTTGGCAAAATAATTCAATTGTGAACACGTGGATTAGCAATCCGAATCCAGAAAAAAGGACTTTTGGCTTTTGCAATAATGACTCATCCGGGTGGCATCACATGACAATGCTTGAGTTGGGTAATTCCAGGGAACTTGAAATGGCAGCGAGCCGAACCTTCCAAGCTCAAAGCCAACATGACCACCAGTATGGCGGAGCTTTCACCGAATAAAAAATCCATCATCGAGGAGCACCCCTTAGCCGACTCACTCGAGCATTTATGCGGCTGTTGCATGAGGCAGAGACAATCTACGAGTCACGTCAAATCCCATCCGACGGCCATCGATAGCTTTGACCAACTCTATCGAAATGCACTTATCGAAACGCCTTCGCTCTTTCTAGGAGCTGATGCACCCTTCAATCTCTGTTACATAAGCCAATAGTAACTAGTGAACTAGTTAGTTAACTAACCAACCAAGCACCACGTGACAAGCACTGGTGTTAGTTTGTTTAGCACTTGGGGCGTCGTCTGCATTTTCTTCCCTCCTCTGCTATTGCGCTAATTCCTTTTCTTGTCAGCATGGCGGAGCTTTCGTTAGGCGATGAGCGTATCATCAAGGAGTACCAATTAACTGACTCACTTGACCGGGCATGCAATTTACTTCAGGAAGCCGAGAATTCACACGCCATGTCCTACAACGGTGCTGGTCAAATCTCTCGGATGGCATTATCAAAGCTTTTGCCCGCTTTGATGGGTGAAATGGCAGCTGTCAAACTTTGTTCCCCAATAAGTAGCCGGAATGTCGCATCTGAGCTCTCAAGATTATTCGTACTCGTTCAGGAAGGAGACTTCAGTTACGAACACTACCAACCACTTGTCCAACTTGTCATCCAGAAAGCCCCCGACACAGACATTTGGAGAGCCGTCTTTGACCTCATCGCCACCATCACACGGGCTGAAAGGGCCACGCCGACACCCAGACCATCACTTCTGACTCCCCAGACCCCACGCTCGCACAACACCAGCAGCCTCGCCAACTCATCGGAGCTCAGAACGAATATCGATAGTGTGCTAAAGGAGGAACTGCGGGGGGAACTCCATGCAGACATTCCCAGCTTTTATGAAAAGTTTTTCGATGATATCGAGAGCCTCAGCGACACCGCGACCGCCGTGTTCGAGAACTGCAAAACTGGCGACAGCCCCCTTTACAGCGATGAGAGCGGATGGACAGACTGGCCCGATAGTACAAACGAGAGGCCTGTATTGGACTGGCTAACCAACACCATTGATCAATTTGTGCGGTTTGCGGAACGTCATGATCCTGCTCGAACCCTCGCCCGCAGACCTCTGGCCCAGCCAGCTCAGCCGATCAATGGATCCATCGGGAAGCGGAAACTCGACGTAGGCTTTGTGGAAGATCTGGACAGCACACCGGGCAAGCGGTACGAGTGGTCAGAGATCCTGGTGCCGGGGGAGCTGAAGAATGACCGAACCTACGATGTGCCGTCAGGGGCGAGGCTCGATCTGGCCAGGTACGCGCGGGAGGTACTGTCCGCGCAGGACGGCCGGCGGTTCATGCTTGGGTTCACACTGTGCGGGCCGCTCCTTCGCGTCTGGGAATTCGACCGTTGCGGTGGAATTGGCTCAGAGGCAATCGACATCAATCAAGACGGCCTGCAGTTCGTCACTGTGATCCTTGGGTTCCTGCTCATGGACCGACTGCAGCTGGGCTTCGACCCCACAGTTATCAAGGTGGACGGCCGACCCTGCATCGAGATCGAGCGGGAGGGCAAGAAGGAGCGCCTGGTCATCGACGCAGTGATCCTGCGGGGGCGCTGTATCGCCGGCCGAGCCACCACCTGCTGGAAGACCCATAGCGAGGCGGACGAGTCGCGGAGGCCCCTGGTGGTCAAGGACTCGTGGCAGTACCCGGAGCGCGACGAGGAAGGGGAGTTACTGCGCGAAGCTGCTGAGAGCGGGGTGATCAATGTCGCCCGGTATTATCACCACGAAACGGTCCAGGTGGATGGTAGAGATGACGACGTCCAGGCGATCCGAAAGGGGCTAGGGATTCCGGCGGCGAGGCCCGAGCAGGGTGACCTTCAGGCGGCCCTGAGGCGGAGTGCATCCGGTCGAGGCCGCGCTAGCCGAAGCATCGCCATCGGGCGGAAGCGCTCATCTGACTGCAACATCAATTTCCCGCCTCCAAACAGCAAGCGTACGAAGTCCAGCTCTCCGACGAAGCACCCCGCGAATGATAAACCTCCTAATCGAGTGCACCGTCGCGTCATTGTTCGAGATTACGGGAAGCCTATCTACGAAAGCAGCTCAAGAGTGGCTCTACTTGTCGGAATGGAAGGCTGCATTCTAGGGTATGAATCCCTGTACAACAAGGCTGGGTTGATCCAAAGTGATATCTCGCTGCGAAATCTTCTGGTCAATGAAGATGATGACAACCTTTCATGCCGGTCCTTCTTGATAGACCTTGACCTTGCCATCCAGACACAACGCGACGGGTTCTCGGGAGCGCGAGGCAAAACCGGCACCAGAGCATTCATGGCGATTGGTGTTTTGTATGGTGAAAAGCACTCCTTCATGCATGATCTTGAGTCCTTCTTCTGGGTGCTTTTCTGGATCTGCATCCACTACAAAGGCCCAGGGAATGGAAGGACTGTAGAACGTTTTGAAGAATGGAATTATGTGAATACAGAAAAGCTGGCGGACGAGAAAAAGGGGGTGATCAGTGATGAGATTGATTTCCTTAGGATTGTAGATGATCACTTCACTCCATATTACCGACCACTGGTCCCCTGGGTCAACAGGCTACGACGAATTGTCTTTCCAAACGGCGGACGGTGGAAAGAATCAAATTCAAAACTGGGTTTGAAAATGAGGAAAATACTTCAAGATGCACAACACGACCCAAAGGTCATAGAGTAGGATATACGCCTAAGTTACTTCACACGATATTCTTGTAAATGCAGATACCCAGCAGAGTTTTAGGATAATCACCATGTATTTAATGACCATTAGTACATCAAACAGACATCGCCCAGCACCACACTTCTAGCTTGTATTTTCCTTGAAAATTAGACCGCGCGCGAGAGCATGGATTCACACAAATACAAAACACAATGCCTTCCTGTCACGACCGACCTCTTGCGTCAGCGGTTTGGCTATCTCTGCCCACGCCTGAAGACATAACTTAAATAAAGATCGCGGGTTGCGTGATTTCCCCTAGATACCTAAATTAGAGGGGAACCGACCATTACATTTAGAAAGCAAAGAGAAGTTAGTGTCCTGATAGTCGCCCCCTCTTTTTCAATGGTTCAGTAATTTCAGTTAAGCAATCAGATGCTCTCCGCTTCAAGCGGGAGCCACTTCCTTCGCATCCAGAGCATGGTTGGTAACCGGGCTCATCGTGGTCCTGAGTACCAAATGGAGATTCCAACTGTTGTTCGGTGACAAACCACTGCATGGTTTGGGGGAAGCCACTGATTTTTCGTAACCCTCCTTTCCCCGTCCGTATAAACACAGTGACAATGTGATCCAGTCGCGACACAGAGAATTCTATTTTCTTAGCATAACAGCCACAAACCGCACAAATGTCGCTTGCGGTATCGCAGCTTCCTAGAACTTTTGAGCCCGTCACGAAGTCAAGTGTTCCAGGCTCAAGTGTTGTCAGGGCGTTGATCACTTTATGGCAATCTATCCGACATCGGATGGTGCCCCCACAGTGATAGGTCCCACTGACGTATTCTGGGCAATTGCCGGGTACGAAATAGAAGCAAGATGCAAGAAGACGGCATGCAGTATCCAGCAGATCTTTTTGGTTGTGAAGCTCACGCCTCACGATGCGACGGAGTAGGGGCATATCTTCAAAGGCATCCAACATGCAAGATCGATTCAGCCTGGGGTTGAAGCGAACGTAATCGTCCTTCTCCGCTTCTGGTAATCCACTCTCAAAGTCCTGCCAGCTCCTCTCTCCATCCAGATTAGCCATGAAGGTATCCCAGAGAACTCGAACCGGGCCGGGTGGGGTAAAGCTCTGAGTCATCCCTCTTTGAAACACGCCGGTTCCGAGTGATATGCCGATATCTGGCCTGGTGAGCCCCGGCCAGATCCTGGAGGCTTCCCATCGGGCTATTTGAACTGGGCACGGGAAGCCTAGACCTCCATCAACGAAACGTCCGGCCGCCATCTCCATAGGTTTGAAGTAACTAAACCAGGATCAGCCAATATAAAGTGTAGCAATCGGGGAAAGAGGCTCACATTGGGGCGGCGGACGTTGCCCTACAGCTACGTCTCTGTCAATCATGGAGATAGGGGAAAGAAGTACAGATGTGCACTCACACTTCCCATATCAAGGGCTCCTTCGCAATGTCTTGGGGCCGGACAAGCGAGTATCCTGCGGTTGAATTAGCCCTGGCAGTACATGCGATCTTATGCTCTTACTATCGTCCTGTATTTGGACCGCGCCATTGTAGTTAGTGAGAATAGATCGGGTACCCCTGTCCGAGACCGCCGTCACCGCAATCCGGACGCCCGAAATTTCGGCATGGCCAAAGAGACGCTCGCCATCACCGCATTCGACCTTTAGGAGATCCTCGAGGCTTGTTTCACTATATATGGCCCGCAGGTGCAGGAAGCGGAGCAGAGCCCGAAGGAACCTCCAACGTCCCTTCAGCTCACCAAAACAACGCCGAGCGACTTTGTCCACAGTTTTGCCGCAATATGATGCTGGACGATTGTGTCGGAACATCAGCATCAAGACCGGGCCCCCTGTATTAAGTCAGTATTGCAGGCGAACAAAGTCTCAGCGGTCTGTTAGGGCCTTTCCCACCAGCGCTGGTGCCAGAGACGATATCAAACACCTCGTGTAAGAAGCATCCGTGGAGAAGTTTTTCTAACTCTGTCAAATACTGAATGGCCATAACTACCCTACAACCACCGCCGTCGATGCCGAGCATTCGCACGCCTGCGGTCCTTGGTTTCATATCGACGGTCAGGGCGCCACGAGCGAGGCAGAGCACGCACGAATCCAGCAAGTACCGGTTCTTGCTCGCGGGAGAGGACCGACCGAATCTTCTTACACAGATATCACATATCGAGTGTCCACAAGCTTTCACCCGTTCTGGGGCGCGGTGCAAGCATGCAAGGCAGGTCAGGTTTGTCTTGATGAGCTTCCAGGATTCGCACTGTGATTGGAGGTTTTCTTGATGGCAGGCGACTGCCAACCGACTTTCTCGTTCTATTCGGAATAGCAGTTCCTCCAAATGATCCTCTATTGTATTGCACATCCTCTCCGCGAGGTCTCCTGGATGTAATTCCTCTAGAACTGTCAGGGTCTCGTGGTGGTACTGGGAACGGAATACAGCACGAGCAGAGAAGTCTGTCGGATGTTAGCACAAGACCTAAGACACTGGGGCTTGAGTCGATGATTACGGTGCATGCGTGGCCGATAAGATTCAACGAGTATGCATGAAGAGACATGCTGCGCCACAGTGTCAGCTGGAAGCGAGAGTTTGGTGGCGAGTTTTGAGAATGTCCGCAGGTGATATGCGTAGGCCTCCCGGTCAGTGGACATTGCTGCTGCGATGAAGTTACAAGGTTCGGTTATTGTGGCCGCGGTGTGTTGAATGGCTTTTTGGAACAATGCCAGGATGTGTTGAGCAGAGAAAAGGCAACGATGACTCCGTCGGACTTCGCGCGCCTCCTCTACCTTGGCCATGAGCTCATGCTTCAGGCGAAGATGGCGTGCCTGTGCCGAGAGGCTGTTACTCGCGATGCGGAACACTTTAACTGACCGGAAATGCTCTGAGAGTGCTGGTCCTGCAGCCTGATGAAGCTCGTATCGAAAGCCACCCGCCGCTAACTCACTGTATAATCCGTCGCTTGCTGTAATGATGATCAGGCTTGGGCGTACCTGTGATGGGAAGTCCGACGCGTTGCCGATTTCGACCCAGGTCGTGATCTTCTGCACCACTGCCTGAATCGACGGAAAGTCATCTGCAAACAGACAAACGACGTCGCTGAACAGAAAGAGCAGCCTTGCCTGGAATATGTCAAATAAGTCACGCTCTGAAGCCCACCTGATCACATAGGGTGTCTCCGCATGACAGCTGTTGCGGGAGCGCAGCCCATGATCCACGCCTGAGATATCCTTTGCGGATGTAGAAGTATCAACAAACAAGAGTGGGTTAGGGGAAAGCGCGCTTTCAACGCCGAGATTGATGCTAGCGGTGGGATATCTACGACGGCTGGACGGAAATAGGTGTTTGAGGCATGTGTTTTTCGCTCGTGCGCCCACAAGTGTTATCAGGCCAGGGTACTGCTCGGATGCGGCCTGAAGTTCATCGTTCACAATATGGCCCAGGCGGCTGGTGGCCGTGAGTTTCCCTTCTTGAAGTCTGATCCACTCCCGATGGCGACACAGGACGGAGGCTGTCATCCTTCAACATTTGGTTCCTTTATTTCATTAGTTATTAATTTCATCCCTTTTTTTTTTTCTTTCCCCCCCCCTCCCTCGTGGCCTGAACGCGCGACTTTTTATATATGGTTTTCTTGCGGGCATTAGTTAAGCGCCGAACCAAAACTCAACTTCTTCAATGTTTGCAAATCCAACTGTCCAAACTTTCAATTGTTCAAAATTAAAATATTTTGTTACAGAACCCTCTTGTTTTGTTGCAGACAGCGTGATATCTTTATCCATCAACGTTGCAGCTGGCCTAACATTGCTAACTTTTCGTTGTTATTTTGTTTGCAATGTTGCAGTGGGCCTAACATTGCTGCCTTTTCGTTATTATTTGTTTGCAATGTTGCAGTGGGCTTAACATTGCTGCCTTTGGTTATTATTTGTCTGCAATGTTGCAGCTGACATGACATTGCTGCCTTGCCGATATTGCGACTTGCATGACATTACTGCCTTGCAAATCTATTTCCAGGTCAGATTTCATGCAGTCGGAGCATCACCGGGCGATCTTCTTCGACAAAGCAGCCCACTATCGGGGAAGGGCGAAGGTCCATTTACGTCACTTTTACATCGAGAAGCTTACCGGAGTTCGAACGATCAGTGATACACATGTTCGGTCTCTGGTCAATACCTTCCGTGAAGGCTGCGATAGACTCAACCCCCACCATTTTGTGCAGGTGATCATAAGCAACGATGTTTTAGACAATGCGTTGGCGCGCGAGAACTTGAATTCTACCGCTTTGCTCGAAGACGGAGAACCTCATGTGCTTGAACTACCAACAGATGTTCAACTTGAAGTTCTCCACGGTCGGCACCGCCTCCTAGCTGCTGATCAATGCCTCTGGGACAAATGGTGGGTTGCGGACCTCTACGCGGACGGTGACACTCCAGATCCATGACTACTGAAGAAAGATCTCTAATGATCAACAGATCTGCCGCACCAAGCAGAGATGGTAATTCGTGAAGATGACCCGAACTCACGCAAGTACTGCGATGGCGATATCTATCGAAACATCCGCCTCCACCAAAGACGGGGAAATGTCAATGCAGAAGAGAAGTGGCGTTCTCGGCTAACAGATCGCAAGCGCAACGACTTAGTGCGGATGGAGTCAAAGCTGAGGAGACTTAACCGTGGATTTGACCAGCTCCTGCCATTTATTGGCCTATGGTCGAGCCTTAAGCTGGGATATCTGAGCCGCTTATTCCGCCTCAGGTGCCCGGAGGTGAGTTGAACCCACCAGTACCAATCTGGCTCTGGCTGAATCCTACCCTCAGGAGCTACTCCACTATCTCGATCTTATATACCGTGGATGCCATGATATACTTGGCGGCTATTCACCTCACCTGCTTGATGCTTCGACTGTTGCAGAACTGGAGACCCTAAGCCCAGCGTTCTCCCTTCATGACAGGGAGCTGATCCGCCAAATGATGCACCAAAGAAGAATATTTGCTGCTGTTTCGCAGCAGGACCATCGTGATCGTATTCTCGACAGGATTCTCACGCGTGGTAGCGGTAGAATTCTGTCATTCCATACCTTCTTCCAGGACTGCATATTCTTTGAAGCATTGGCCATCCCCTTGCGGAATCTACTTCCGTCAAGTTTCAAAGGCACAGTCCGTGAGGGGTTCTTCCTCAACTACACCGATGCCAATCAAAAAGACAGCCGATTTCTGATACAGACTGGCGAGGACAGCTTTAGGGAGTCCTTTGGGAACCTGAACACCAGGATCGAGCATGGTTATCGGCAGCTTGCCCTCGCAGCCATGCGTGACTTTCCCGCACTGAGTGGCCTGTTACCATATCAAAACAAAAAGGATCGTGAGCCGGCCATGTGCGCTATGCGAAAGGCCCGACTCTACAAGCTTGCCGATCTCGCACTAAAACTTGGCTTCGAAACAGAGAAGATCCATGAGATCAAGAGCCTTGCTTCAAATCCAGAAGAGCATGCCACTCAAGAATTCCTGCGTGAGCTGTATGATATCGACAGTGGGATGGCCCACGGTCTTGCAGGTTTGGTAGGGGGACGTGTTCATGGAGCCGCAACACCACCGACAGTCACGCAGCCAGAATTCACCTCTGATTTGCAAAGGCTCCCGAAGAAGTTGCGGTGCAACCGGCCGGCTTGCGATTCATATGAGAATGACAGGCGGTCGCTCTACATAGATGTGTTATACAATTATGACCCACCCCAACGATCTCATGTAACCTCTCTAGCAATACAGCGGGATATATTCGTCTCCTTTTTCGGCGAGTCCGACTCTACGCCGGAAAGTGAATCGGTCTACACGCTGGATACCCAAAGCCCGGGTAGTGACAGCCCTCCGGATGGGTGCCGGCCCGAAATGGCGGAGTACGAAGAAGCCGACCCATACCACTCGAGAGGCGACGCCCGCCCTTCAAGCCAAGCGCGCAGCAGCGAATTAGAGGATCCCCTCGCGAGAATAAGGGGAGAGACCGAGCTCTTTGAGGACGTCGTGGAGGCGGATGGGTTTGAGGGCAGTGCAGCGCCTTTGAACTCAATCAATCGCCTGGACAGCTCGAAGAGGCCGTCTATGGCGATAAAGGAATTCCTTTCAAATAAGCACGTTTTGGTCCTCTACATTCAAGATTCAAGACAGTACGCTAAGTTCAACAGCAATGGAGACCAGAAGAACATGTTCGAATGTCTCGCCAGGTCACTCAGCAATGAATATCGCTTCCTGACGATACGAAAAAACATATTCGCCGTCCAGAAGCTGCGAGGACTCTGGTTCAGCGCGCTCAAATACAAACTTATCATCGCCTGCCGTAAACGGCAAGTAAACAATATGGAGAATGATGTTGACACATTAGAAGAGCTCTACAGTCTATTAGATTCCTAAAATTAAGAGTGTATTTAGATATAGGTTTATTGTTGTTTGTCGTAAAAACATTGATATATTAAAGGAGGGGTTCCTGCAAAGGTCGCATTCATGTTCATAAGTTTATGCCCAAAAGTTTATGCTTGCCAGTGTTTCAGCGCAACTAAGATCAATGGTGTAAGGAACCCTGCCGTGGATGGGGCGGCGTGTGCCGAAAATGGGTGCTTACTTCCATGTCAGTAAGCATATAAATACGGGCCCAGAAGGAAAGGCATCTTACACTGAGTAGTTGTGGAATACTGCTGTGCTCCGTATCTTGTTGAAATCCAAGAATTTCGCGGCTCCACTGTTCAGGCTTCTCGAGGTGAATGGTTTCAGGGTCTAAATCTGCTGTTTGCGGCTCCATGATCTCGGTCATTATCCAACCCACAGATTTGATATCACGACGTTCCATGCCACATTGCTGCGCCAGCATACTGGAGCCAATTTCGCCTGGCGACGGTCAGTCAGAAAGTAATTATGGTGTTGACAATACTTAAGGAAGTGATCACCAATCTTAACCAGCCCCGTTACTGTAAGAAAGATGTTCGAGCACTTGATGAAGCAATGGCAGATTCGCAACTCCCCGTGAATATAAGACAGACCAAGAAGAACCTGAAATTTTAGCTCAGCTCCTAACAAGTAAGAAGCATAATAACACCATGTGGTTGAACTACCTCTCGACAGACTGTAGCGATGTGCCCTTCCTCTAATCTCACATCAGAGTGCAACTGTTCCAAAGGAAGATCCATGCGTTCATATGCGAGGTACACAATGTCTCTATCAATGAAGGCATCCCGAAGGTTGACCAGGTTCGTATGTGCTGTTTTAATCAGGTGCTGCACATTTACCGCATTGGAAGGTTTGCAATCTCTGAACGCAACCACAGTCTTTGGCATCCTTATATCATGTGCAAGTACAATCTTTCCACAGCTTCGCCGCCGCGTAAATGGACGGTATCTGTCCCATGGGGAACCGTTCTCTGGAAACTGACGGGAACATCGCTTGGAGGATTCTTTCTCAGGGACCTGTCGGACAGACAATGGTAAGGGAGGCGGTCTCCATTGAGGGCGTTTCCTGAGTTTATTGGGTGACTGCCCGGCCTTGTCGACGGCTCCTGATGATGCACATGCTGTCCCGGCTCCGGTGTCTTCTTGACTGTTGTCCGAGTTGATATTAAAGCTTCCAGGAAAGGGAGTGCATCTCTTTTCGTTACCAATTGCCATTATGAATGAATTTTCTATCTATGTAAGAAACTGACATCTCATCAGAATTTTTATGTGCTTATCCTAGATTTTAAACATTATCCTAGACGCCAATGAAATGTCCAGTTTTAGAAAGTTGCACTTGTTGAAAATTGGCCTTTTGTATTGCGGTTCACTATAAAACCCGGTGTCAGCCCATCGATAACCAGAGATTTGAGAAGGTCAAGCATAACTGTGCATTTTGCTTTTCGTCATGTTGCTTACAACGCTGTTCAAAATCACTCTAGTTGTATCAGGTCTCTCCCTCATTGAGTGGTTCCCTAGGGCCAGTGCAGTGCCACAGACTGCTGGCCCCGCTGTCACGACGGTAACGGCCGTGAGTAGCGCCCGGCCCACCAACATGAGCGGTTGGGTAGCCGTCGGCTCTACCAAGACGCGCCTTTTGAGCTCAGGATTTGCAACGCATCCGGCCTTGTACACTGGATCCATTGGAGGTGCTAGCGCTACGGCTCCATCACAGTGGCCATCGGGATATCTTTACACCAACACCGGGACAAGGCCGAGTTTTCTGAATACGACCGTCGTGCCTTCAAGCACCCATTTACCGAAAGTGCCTACTACCAGCTTGGCACCAACAGTCAACGCGGCCGAGATGAACACGGCAGAAATCTATTCTCGGTTCCTGGTGGTTTTATCTGTGGTTGTGGTTCTACTTTTCTAAGTCATTGTTGTGGTGGCGGCAAAATGGTGTATTGGGAACGCACGCATGCAAAGAGCTGACTTTGGCGGACTGTTAGGGAATATTTGCCATGTGCTTAAGAGCGCTCATGTTCTCTCAGGTTACAAGAACTACTCTTCATAAAGGGCTAAATCACATGATCAACTGGTCCTTGGGGGCTGAAAAACACCGAATCAATGTAGTTTTACTAATTGATGAATCAAATAACTAGTTAATCTCACAACAAGCCATGGTTTCAATGGAGATCAAGACATCACAACATGCCCCTTCACCCATCTGGTGACTTTACAAATAAAAGGGAAGGGGGAAAGAAGTCAACAGAGAAGGTGTGTTATGCTAGGCCTGGTAAATTCTCACTAATTGCCTATGAATGAACTTCTTCCTTGCGTGAGAGGATTAATTCCCAAGTTGCTTTCGTTCCGCATCATGTGCCGCAAGTGCCTCGTGGAGTTGTGCTTCGAGTTCTTTTCTAGCACTAATTTCCGCCTGGAGAGAGCTTTCGAGCTGGGTGTTGTGCGCGAGTGCTTGATTATACATGATCCGTTCTCTCTGGCTGGCCGCGCCAGATTCGTGGAGAAGTCGCTCGAGTTCTTTGAGGCGAGCGTGACATTCGGCCTCGCGGACAAAGCAGTTTCGGAGCAAATGAACGCTCACGATCACTGTATCGGCGGGTACGTTCTTTGAATCATCAGCATCCATGCTCGGGGCCAATGTGAGGGAGCTCACCAGGGGGAAGTTTTTGTGAAGAGACATTTGTGTAAGATTGTTGGCACCAGGCAAGCAAATGGTCGGTTAATGACAGAGTAGTTTCCAGCAATGACCGGTTTGATGCTTTCTCTGGCCATATATATATATATATATATATTATATTGCCACTTATACTAAACATATCGGCTGATCGCCACGGCGTTTCGCCCATACAAACTGGTGGCTGATGCGCCCAAACTTCCTTTGTTGTCTAGCCGAGCTAATCAATAAATTCAACTGGCCGCCGTTGTGCCGCCAAGCCCACCCCCTGAAAGATGCTCCATTTTTTCCACTGATTGCTCAATTTGGCGCTCTGACTTCTTGAGACTAGCTTCAAGCACATCCACCAATCTCCCGACTGAAGTCAAAGATTCGTGGGAGTTTCTCAGCTCTTCCAACAGTATGGCATTCTTCTTCATCTCAGAATCCAAGAGTGCCTCGGACGCTTCGAGTTTCTGTTTCACCTGATTATTTTCCGCAAAAGACTGTTTAGATAACGCGATTGCCGTCTCGACCGCCTTGAGAGCATCGCTAATCACGCTGTTCGGGTTCTGCTCTTGAACACTGAGCCGAGATAACGCTTTCTGGCATAGTTCTAGCTGATTTCGTAATTGATCCAAGGTGAAACTTGCCTGCAGCTTTATTAGCTTTTCATGAGGAGGTTGATGGCTCCAGAATGCACTGACTTACATGAGGACAGACACTGGAGACCTCTGCCATTGTCGAATTTCACACTCAACAAATAATTAAGATAACAATAAACTAGTTGCTCCATCCACAGCGTATCTCAGCACTATCTATACTTTACTTGTGAATTCATGGCCTCGGTGAACTCCGAGCCATGCCAAGGTGGGGCACCAGGAAGGGTAGACGGCGGTTACTTCTCATGGGTGGATCCTGTTGATTCTGCGCGCTCGCCACATCAGATCAAGGTGACGGCCCGACAGCTTGGTTCCCGTCTAACGCCAAGGAGCAATCACGCACAGCGCGTCAAAACACTTTGTGTAATTGGTACAATTCTGAGGACTGACTTTCAACCCGCATGTGAAGTCGATCATGTGATCAAACCTTGCGACACAGAAAAGGCAAATTAGGCAACATCACATCAACAAATGATCCCTTCTCCCTATCCTTCCCCCTCCCCAACTAACCCATAGGTGCTCGACTCTCCGAGAAATTTCGAACAGTTTCCCCAATATGAAGCAGAAACGGCTGCAAGCTTTCAATGTATGCGGACATTTTCTCTAGCTTCCTAGCTACTAGTCAGTGACATCACAAATTATGGCCCAGTTTTACCGTACTGTGCAAGTTCCTGAACCCTGTCCATCAGAGGTTAGCGAAGGTTGATGATGTTGCAGGGATAGTTGAATCATACTCTTCCTGGAGCTGATCTAGCTGCATTGCTATGGCTTCTGTTGTGATAGGCCCATTGTCGGAGGTTGGCTGGCGGACGGCGGGGGCCTCGTCTCGAGGCGGATTCATCGTATTTCCATGTTCTCGAGGGCTACCCGGAGAGTGAATGAGACTAGGTACATTCTCCAGAGCCGGCACTGAGTAGGGGTCGACGGTGTGGTCCATCTCCTGTGCAAAACGCATAAACTCCTGCCAATCTTCGTCAAGCAAATGGCCCTCTGAATCCAGGAAAGTAAGATCCAAGGAAGGAAAAGTTCCTCCCTCGCTCCATTGCTGTAGATCGCTCGGCAGGTTTGTACTGTCCAGCATACTGTCCATGTTGTCCTGATTTCTGATTTTTCATAGGGTTCGTGATGGGGGCTCGGTAGCCTTTTAATACAGGTCCATGTCAGACTCTGGCCCCATTTATTGTCTAATTATAACAGAGGCGAATCAGAGCGTCTCGCCAACCCACCAGTGGACCGTTTTGCAAACGCGCGATCTTAGACATTTACGACGAGCGAGACGCCCGAGTAGATGATCCTAACTTAAACTAATTACTGCCTCTAGGTTGCTGTCTCCATGAGGCGGAGAAATGTTAAAGGATGATTTACCAATGGCTCCTACAGGTAACAACAAACCGTATTTTGTGTGGGAGGAGGAGTTAATCGAATCACTGAAGATGTCCGAAAGTTCGTGGGAAGATACTCTGGCTCGATTCAACAATTCTGTTGCTCCTGACCGGCAGCGAACTCTGGGAGGATTAAAGGCCAAGTTCACACAAATACAACAAACACGGAACGCTGCCACAGAGAGTGATGTGGTAGAGGTGAGTCATTCGATGGGATTCATTATTTTGGTGCTGACATGCATTTATATCGAGGCCGATATTAACTCGGACACCACGCTTGAGTCAACTCGCGAAGGCACTCCTGAAGAACCTCCGTTAGACGCTTCTGGAACTGAGACCGACGATTCCCCAGTAAATGCAAGCTGCGAGTGGACTACTGATGGGTTGGATGCCGCACTCTCTGAACCAACCGATTCTGATGCACTTGATCAGAACATCAGGCTTCCATCGACCGAGGTCATCTTCAAATATGACGTTTTCCGTCCCTCCGGTGAATTCAATGAGGACTTTTACCTGCAAGTGGTTGAGGATGCTGCAGGTGGTGTTCAGGGTGCTGCTGAGGCACTGAAGATGATCAATGACGAGCTCCTGAGGCTTGCTGTTTGTGGTCATTCTGCTAGCTATGAGGCTCTCCAATGCATCGGTCATTTGAATTATGGATATCCTAACTCTATTGAAAATAAAGCGGTAATACATGGTAGTAGCGCGAATTGAGTCAAGCATTAATCTAGATGAAAAATGATCAAGGGTCCGCGGGTTAGATGAATGAAACCAGTTAGCTCCAATGGAGTTGAAGCAATATAGATGTTAGGGCATAGCATGGGAGCGTTGAGATGAATCATTGAATGCCTGGAAGTCCAAATCAACAAGTTTCATCCTGCTATTCATATTCTTTCGAGCAAGTTCGCGGATTGCATCTCGCACTGTGGTCTTTGCAGATACTGTACTCCTGTGAGCGGTGTACCTTCATGGATCGGTGTCATTCATACCTGTCACGAGCCTTTTGCCGCCACTATTCCAGAAATCATGAGATATCACTTTCAATGGGTCCAAAGGGGCGTGTATCTTCCAGATCCGATTGTGCTCGCCATCCGATATTGGTGACATTTTGACGTTATCAACGGGAGGCAAATAGAGCCCGAACCGAAGAATCTACGGTCAGTTAGCGAAATTCCATTCACGCAGTGCGGTTGCTACTGACGTAAGATCCGCAATCCTGTTCTAGGAGCTTGTCCATCCATTTCTTAACCCAATCAAGGTGTACTTCAGAAAATTAGTAGCGGGAATCTTTTTGGAGAGTTTAGACCTACCCATCTCGTCGACTTCCCAGGCGATAAAAATACTCCGTCTGCGGCCAGGCTGACACGAGTGTTCATCAAGTATCTCTCTGATGAATGGGATCTGCGCCACAATTCCAATCCCCGTAGCCACCATGAGGAAGGCATCGTACGGGCTAACCGTATAGGTGTGGCCGTAAGGCCCATCGACCCATGCCAGGTAGGGTCCCTGATTGCGTGCTGAAGCCAACCTCTTTGTGAAGCCAGCTCTTTCTTTCACCAGGAGAAAGAGTGTCTCCACCCCACTGCGCTTATCTATCTCAGATGAGATGATCGTGAAAGGGTGGCTTTGTATTGCTGCCCAGCGGCAGATAGCGGGTATCCAAATGTAGACATATTGCCCTGCCCGAGCTCTTAAAGGCCTGGCTAGCGTTAACACAATCTCCGTTGCTCCACCTCTAGGTATCACGCGAGCCTCGCAGCCGAACTTCTTTGCGGTCACATTCCGTCGCAGGAGGAGAGCCCAGTGCAGACATGTTGAACATATCATTCCCAAGGCGCTTACACGGACGTAGAGCCTAGGAAAGGCGGTTCCCCTGTCCAAATGGCGCCACAGCGAAATGAGGGCAAGGAGCGCAAGCGCGTAATGCACTCGAATGAAGACCTCATAGAAACAACGCCGGAAAACTGTAAAGACTATTGTAGCGACGAGTCCCAGGAGAGCCTAATATCCATCAGCATTGCAAATAGGTGTTGATCTTTTGGAAATGGTCACCAGAAAGCCGTAAAACTGCAGAGGGTCACGGATGGAGAAGACCTGGCGTTGGATAGCAACCAGTGCATGGGTCAGACCCAAACACAACGCAATCGTTCCGGTGGTGCCATGGCAATCTTTATAGGAGTGAATTGACATCCCCAAGAGGCCTGCTACCATACTAAACTTTCCAGATAGCATCATTGGTATCAGGTTTATTAACGACAATCTTCCCGCCCGCCTTCCGACCTCCTCCAAGTCTTGAACACCATGAAGATTGCAGACTGCGGTCAGCGTCCAATAGGCGATTCTCAACGAAAGCCCAACAGGCGACAACGGGGAAAACCAACGGAGCCGACGATACACGCGTGGATACAGAAAAAACTTCAAGTAACAGAATCGGACATGTCGGCAGCAGGAACAGCAAAGCTTGTAAGCCAGCGAGAGGAGGGCGCGACAAACTCCGGGAAGCAATAGTTCGGAAGTAGATTGACAAACAGACCCCAAGCGGCCAAAGCCCGCAAGATAACGGAGCAGAGAAGTGAGAGTACTAAAGCAAAAAAGAAGGCACAAGATGCCACCAAGGCCAATTGCGTAAACCTCCGTAAGATCCATACTTGATCTGCCTTTCCTTTTTTTTTGGAGACCAGTGCGGGAAGCGCTGGTCCATTTATAGTGTGCCAGTGTACTCGGGCCATCAGACAGGGCCTCAATTTTGAGGGAAGTGAGGGCGTCTATCAGTATGACGGGTAAGAGCGTGACGCTCGAGTGCTATTTGAGAACCAGCCCACTCTATTTTTGGAATGGGGATGCGCAATGACATATAAAAGCGGGAGGAGATCGCCCTCTTCCCACCGAGGCCCATCAAAAGTTGCATTTTTGCTGAAGTGGAAATGAAAATGGGTTACACGCAACGGCGGAAGACGGTTTTTCGAAAACTGCGCCAACTCCTCGTCGTATTTAGGCTTCGTGCGTTCATTGTCCTATCAGATGGTGACGACAACCATTACTGCTTGAGAAGTCACAAGGGATATCCTCCACCCGATCTGGTATGGCCGACAGTCTTCTCGCATCACACGGGTGCTCACGAAATTGTAGGTTCAACTGCTACCGGAGACCACCCGAACTCTTGACGATTTCCAAAAAATTGATACGAATTTTCACCTTAATATGAAATTGAAAGAAGATCGGACCGCTTCCTCGGGTGGAGATTATAGTAGCAGAGCAACGTTCGTACCTCCCCAATTTTCTCCCTTAAACGAAGTGAGGCAATCGGCGAATGTTTTATCGACGCCTGAAGGCAGGTGAAACCCTGTTTCGGGGGTGGGGGGAATTCAGCTTGTACTGTAATCAGCCTCTCTGTTGTTGAGTTAGCTACAATTTTCAAGGATGACTCTCGCATTTTTGATTGTGATTAGCTAGTGGTCTTTCAGCTGGAAGCTCTCTTCGACATCATTGGTTTGACTGTAATAACAACAGCGCTTATAAAGATCGAGAAAGACAAATGTGAAGAAATGCAATATTTAGAAAATATGAATATCAGAGGGCCCAGCATCAAAATTGCTGGGTTAGAGAAAGGATTTAAGAAGATGCTTTCCTCAAACCTATACTCTGTCTTTGTAGCCATCAGCATAATATGGCGACCCTTTTCGGCGAAAAACCACGCAGAAGGCGGAAGACGGACGGAATTAGTTCTGAGTCGACAATCAAAGGAAAGCAGAAGGCAGGTGCCGATTACACGGTGTTCCACGAACAAGCAGTACCTCACCTTCTGTCATTTTATTGGCATGGCGGCCGGGTACGCAAGGATGCAAAGCGTAAATTGGATCAGTTAAATGATGAGATCCAGAAATTTAATCTCAAGAACAACCTGACTGGGAACACGGGTTATATCCCCGTTGACCTATTGAAGTCAGACGTCGAAAGTCTCGATGAAGCCGTCAAAGAGAAAAGCAAAGCACTTTTCGAGCACGCCAAGGGACTTATCCAACGAACCCTCCAAGTGTATGCCCTACCTCCAGAACTCGGTCCTCGACAAGAGGAATTTAACAAAAAGCTGAGAGTTGGGGATGCGACCGCTCCTCACGAAGACGATATCGAATCGACAGACAAGGGTGCCACGGCAGCCGATTACTCGCCATATTGGGACCAGGCGACACCTCATATTACGTCGCTGCTCTGGGGCCGTGGTCCACTGCGCGAAGATGCAATCTCGAAGTTGCAACGACTGAACGAGAAGATATCTCAGTGGAATAAAAACAACTCACTTTTTCATCTAGGCGGTACCATACCGCTGGTCGACTTGATAAGGGAAGCCGGAGAACTTGATCGAGCTGTTAGGCGCAAAGATAGGGGAAAATTTGAGAGGATAAAGTCAACGATTGAAGAGATACTGGATGGTTCTAAAGTTCCTCAAGAATGGAGCCCCCAGGAAGAAGATTTCATAGCAGTACTCGCGAGCGGGGGCGAATCAACAGATGAGGATTCTGGGCACGAGAGCAATGATAGGCATGAGGGAGACACTAGTCAAGAGGAAAATGATTTGGGCGCTGAAGGCGGGAATCAAGAGAACATTGAAGGGGTTGAACACTCTTTCGATGACCTTCGGCGAGAAGCCGAGAGGGCTTATGGTGTTAGCTTTCAGGATGGAACTGTCACCGGTTGGCGGGGACGCGGCAATGGCTACACAGTCTGCGTCATGTACAAATGCAATGGCATAGCCACAGGCCGGTTAGAACGGGCGGGGGGCCGCGACTTTGTGATGGACGCGCGCTCTCACATTGCAACGAACTCTCGAGGCGACCTACGGGATAACAATACAAATGTACCGGTAACCAGGAGAAACCAAGGCAGGGTCGGCCGGCGGGTGTGGACGGGGAAGAGAGTGAAAAAATACGGACTCATCTACTGGAAGGTTGATGATGCATGGGTGCAAGACCCTACAGCGCCCCTGCGTCCGGCGCAAAAAGCCTGGTACCCAGAAACGTATCTGAGTATCCTCTGGGATGACGGGTGCTGGACAAAGGAGAGTAGAGCAAACTGTCGCAACATATTCAATACCGCAAGCGATTACCAAGCAGACATGATTCTGTACACAATTGCACGCCAGCAAGAAGCCAAATACCAGACCGCACTCACCGGCCGAGAGGTTCAAATTCCCGAGGCTCCAACGTCGAACCCTCACTGGAGGAATGCTAATGCTCGAGGTGGCGCACACTACACGATCCCGAGAGCACGGGAAGTTGGCTATGTCGATGAAGAGGACGAGGAAGATGGTTTCGTAGTCTCGGATGAAGAGTATGAAGTGTCAGAAAGCGAGCTCGAGACATACGAGGACTCCGAAGTTGAGCATAATGGAGGCGAACGCCGACGCGGCGCAAGCCATGAATTCAGCCCCAGGCAACAACCGCATCCAAGAGAACACTCCGAATACATCTCCAGCGTAAGACCAGGACGGAATCAGGGGTTCGCCAGGAACCCAGTGGAGGACGAGGAGGACGAAGAATCTGACGTGGATGTCAGACTTCCCAGGCCTCGGGAGTATACCAGGAGGGATAGGCCGAAGGACAACGAGGAGGCAACGATCAGGTCCACCGGGCGAAGAAGATCAAACCCGGGTTCTGCTAGGAAAACAATGCAGGAGGAGCCTAGGGAGGAAACCAGTTACCGCACACCTGGGCGTATGCAACATCAAAGAGGTGGGAGAAGTTCCTCTATGACTACGCCATCGAGTGCGGCACCGGCGATTTTCTCCAGCGCAGGACGTTCACTCAGCTCCGCGACAACCCCAATGACACCGCTAGATACGCCTTCGCGTACAAAGGGTTCCGGGAGCGGGAAGAAGGTCAAGTTCACAAGGCACGCCTGGTGACATTCAGCATTGAGAATTTAAAATGTTAGAGTCGGGCACTCACTTCGATTTTCGTTGATTTTTAGTCTTGCATTTGGCCGTATTTAGCCTGATCTAGATAGTCTGAATAAATTGAAGCTCATCGAATCGCTGCATTATTGCCATGCTCAACGTAGGGAGAAGGAGCAGTCATGGGCACCCAGTGCACTTTGCATCAACTATCTAAGGAAATTGAATAGTGCAAGTTATTTCGTTGGTGGAGCTACTAGCATCAGTCTTCTAATATTGCACTTTCCAATCCTTTGACTATTTTGCCCAAAGCAGAATATAAAGCGAGACAATCTCCCGCGAGCATGGAGGCCAAAATCAAGGGTAAGGGAATCATGCCGTCAATTCATCGGGAAATCAGACACCTTCCGCATGGTGAATGGACTAGGCGCGATCCGAAGGACGGTCCTTACGGCGTTTTTATCACGGAAACAAAGGGGAAATCGGCAACAGCAACAAATAACCTACGCCACGAGTATGACGCCTTGTGGCAGAGGGCAGCTGGCCCAATGCGTACATTGCTATGGGGACCTGAAGTAGAACGGGAGAGGGCGGCTGAAGCGATTGAGCAACTCAACCAAAGAGCGAGAGAGATAAACACTAAGTATCGCCGGCAGTCAGCCATGGGTCTGATCGACTACGAGGATTGGACTCAAGCCGGTGGTCAACTTGACCTTGCTATTCGCGACCATCATCTATATCGTTCCGACGCGAGGTTCTATGACGTGGAAGATTTCATCTGGGAACGGATAGCAAACAAACAATATCCAGAATCATGGTCGGTCAATTGGGATGACTACCAAGCGCAGATTGAGCATCGAGAGATGCGCTATACACAGAATACCCTCCTTTCTAATTCTCCCCTAGAAAGATCCCACGCTCCTGGTCGAGGAGCCAGCGGTGCGAACCGACGGCGTGGCCCAAGACTACGTACGCTTGGACACCGCGCTTTATTACCACAAACTCCGAACAGACGAGAGCGCAAGGTAAAATATCCATACCCGCTGCCGGGCAGGAGAGCACCCAGTTTTATTCGCCCAGGCACTATCAGGTAGTTGGTGACCAGGAGAACAGGTATATGTAGATTAGCATTACTTGTCACGTGCAAATTCCTGGGGTCACTGGGCAACATCTGTTACATTAGTTACGCGCCCAAACAAATTATTATATTCTGACCTAAAAAAAGGGGCTGCTTAAGCGCCCATACTCCCGTACAGCACTTCAGAGCCTTTGAAAAGATTGCTTCAGTTATTAATATAGACAGAATGTCATCCGCAACTCTTAAAATGGACATATTGATCCTGCGACATTGCATGCCTTGGGAAAAGAGCCATGTCAACAGCCGCAAATGCAAAACGTGCGAGCGAGCGGGCAAGGTGCCGGAAGATGCTTTCTAAGCATATAGGTAAGTTCCCAGATGACAGCCATTTCATGACTAACTCACTGAGCAGAAACCCGTCTTGGCATAATTGTGCCCCCCGACGAAGTTCGGTTGAATCCTGGATTGGATGATCGGTACAGATGGAGGATAGAAAAGTCAGCAAAACACAAAACGCGATACGAAGGGTACCTTAGCAAGTCCTTGAGCACGCATTCAACATCAACATACGGACGACTTTGCGAAGGCGTCGGAGAGAGCTTTTTTGCTGTACACGCAGATGATGATCGCGATCCGGTCATCGACCCTTCCTCGCAGGCATCTTTGTCGAGTCTCGAGACAACCAGGGAAGAGGCGCGATATTGGAGAGACATCGCAGAAAACGCCAGTGCGGAAATTCTCCAGCTAAGGTCAGAATTGGGAGACCTTAGGAAGATGAACCGGGGGTTGTTCAATTGCGCCAGAGCCTTCTTTACAAAGGCTCGCCTGTTTCAGGACCATGCCCAGGTGTTGGAGGCCCACTTGCATACGTATATGGGCGAAATGTCTGTCCTCATGGAAAACTTCAAAAAGGGAATACAGTTTAGACCTCCAATTCTCCTCCCCAGTCCCCCAAAGCAAAAGCCAGTATGCACCGTGGCACAATAGAAAATCAATTCTGGAGAATTCAAAAGTTATAGCTAGCAGATGGATGCTGAGAAGAAAGAAAAAGGCCTTGATTGTCGGTCACAAGGTCCCGTGAAGGGTTTCCGGAGTCTGCAATTGCTCAATGTAAACAAGGAACTTTGGCCAAGCATTACCTCTCCTTCACAGCTTGTATTCTGCGAGGACTTGCCAAAGAGTTGGAAAGTTCAATCAATATGTGTATACAGACTGTCAGTGTCTGGCAGCTCACCACTTTGAAGTCAGCCGCACCTTCCAAGCATGCCCTCCCTGCGAGGCCGCCAGCTGAAGTCTGTGTGCCGTCAAGAACTGAGACCCAACCCGCTTCGCCATCCATTCCTAAATTCCTACCTCAACCACGACAGACATCACTATTGCCATCCAGTGCACCATCTTCAGAAAAACCCATACAGAGAGTTTCGCCTCCGCATAGTCCAGCATGTCTTTCAAATTCACATATTTCTCCGGCCTGCGTCGCCCAAGGCGCCACTGCTCTTCCAGCTACATTGCCTCTCTTAGAAGGAGACACCAACGGGCCCAGCACAGCATCGCCCGGTGCGACTAGCTCAGCCAGCAGCTTTAAACAGCTCCTCCAGCTCCCGGTTTTTCAGGAGAACTTATCTATTGACCCAGCAATTATTGTTGACGAAAAGTCCTGGGAGACCGACGACCTTGGGTGGCCTGTCCGACAAGGCAACAGCTTTGCCGCCCCAGAAACAATCTGCCCATATCCTGAATCTCCTCGATCCATGTTCCGGGCCAGATTCCCGAGGGAGGCTGGCAGATAGTACACTGGCTGAAGGAAACTCCCACATCTGCAAGTCTCAACTGATACTTCCCTCCCGCTCCAGTTGCTTCAGTAGTGCGGGTGAAGGCCCCAGTGACAAACAAATGAAGGGCCTCAAGCAATGAGCCGAGGAATTGAAAGAACAGACCCAAAGCGGGCCCGCGTCGCTTCCGCGTCATCCACTAGAGAAGACTCCTTTATCGCCCTTCATTCCCACTTCCTATCCATACGGCTTGACTAACGATTGCGGTTCCTTTCTTGGCTGTTCAAAGGAGCCTTGGCAGCTGCATTCCCGACTCCAATGAGAGTGCCCAGTCAACCATTCGCGAAGATTCCCTTGAGAAGACCCAACAAACTCGGCCCGAATGCGGTGAGGGAAGGAAAGGCCAGAGGCGATGGTCGGCTGAGGATGACAAATGCCTTCAGGACATAGTGGAGGAGCGCCGGTCCTGGTCAGAGATAGAGTAGTGTTGCCCAGGAAAGACGGAATCTGCTCTGCACCAGCATCAGTCGGGGCTTCGAAAGAACCGGAGGAGGATACATCGGCCTACCGCCACCACACCGACAGTAGCGGTTGTGATATAGTACATGCTGTACATGCCGTACATACCGAACCCAAGAGAAAGGAGGGACCACCGCTGGGGTCAACCCTAATCTAACACCGCCCATACTGTCCCATGAGGCCTTGTCTCGTCAAATTCTGATGACCAGTGCATAAATGGACACCTCTTTTACCCGCGTAAGCTCGGACGCCTTCTTACCCCCCGACTTTACCTTATTAGACCCACCCATCCTATTAAGACGATCCTGATGGAAGTATCGAGTTGGTCTACACGACCATAATGACTGGACGCGCTCTCCAGAGGCCAAATTAGCCCGGCCCAACCTAAGCCAGGACAGGGTTCTGACATCATATTCCATCGCTGTAGTCAAACCTTCGAAGGCCTACAGATGAACACTATAGATGAACCGGAGAGCTGGATACGAGCAACCATGGTCAAGAAAGGAAAACGGCTTCGCACACCAATCTTCGTCAAGGTTATAACTGAATAACAATATTAAGAATCCGGGGAGCAATAGTCCCTTACAGCTACTGCCAAATCTTGCATCGGCCTGATATCCACAGCTCCAGCAAGCACCATCCTATACACCGTCATCACAAAAATATTACCAAAGTCCTGAGTACCATCACCGCAGTCAAGAATATTTTCGGCAAGCCTGCATAATGAGTCTATCATGAGTGGGACAAGATTATCCTCATTGTGGGCCTCGAGATTCGCCCATGTTTTCTTCAGGAAGGAAATGGCCGTTTTTCTAGCAATGAATTCAAGACTGGAAAGGAGATTCCACTGCGGATGCCCGAGGGCACAGTGCTCCACCGCGTCTTGCTCGTACCTGTCCAGTATATAGAATAAAGATGGGATTTTGTCTGGCTCGTCAGCTGTTATAGCGTCGGCAACTCCAGTGACATTCTATGCCAAGTTAGCTTGAATACAGCATATACAGCAGTCTCCAGGGAGTACAAACCGCTAGGCCATCCTCCAGCTCAGAGACAAGATAACTTGTGGATGTGCAAAGGCTGTCGCGCGGTGATTCACAAATAAGAGAGATCAGAGAACAGGCTTTTCGGCCGCTCCTGCACAGCAGGAGGTCAGATAATCTACTCAGACTTAGCTACCAACTCAAGCAGAGACTGCGAAGCGATACTCACAGTTGATCTGGTGATTCCAGCATTGGTGCCATCTCAGAGCTTTCAAGGTGGAAACCCTAGCCCGATAATGTACACGACTTGTGGAAGACGAGGGCTTTGTGAAGAGATAGCCAATGCTACGGACCTTGGTGTGTGATGGCCCATGGAGGAAACCCTCAATATATACGACAGACGCTGCTCTCAGTAAACAGTGCTTGGGCCATGTCAAATCTGACTGTATGAAACAACTATGTACGCTTAAACCCACTATTGGAACTGGTTCGCACATGCAACCTTCCTCTCTTGTGTATCTTGAGAATTGGGCCACTACGGGAAAATCCATCTCCTTGGAGAGAACTTTTGTTCCTTTCTCTTGGACAAGCTGTTGCATGGCCCACAAGTGACGGCCGTTTCATTGCCTCTTTGGAGAAGTCAAATCCTCCACGGTCTCCTCTGGGGCCGAATAGCTTGCCAACCGATAATATATGCCATGATTGAATATCTGTGGTGATAAGGGTACGGCGATAATTGAATATCTAGAAACTCTGACAGATGAATGGCCGCAGTTTGTGAGTTATCAAAGCACATGTTTGATACATCAATTGCTGGAATATTTTTAAGCCCAGGCACTCGACTAGATAACTACCAATTCACTCATGCAATGGAGACAAATCCCTTGATTATGTTTGCAAATGTTGCAAATGAAACCCGACCTGCTCTTAATGCTTACCGTGGCCTCCTGCACTGGCAGCAAAAAACCGTTTCCTCAAGAAATCATTTCCGCAATCATAGTGCTCCCCTGTTGAACACTTGACCGTTTCCAAACCTGTTCCATGTCTCTTTGCTCTCTTTTTGTCCCTTGTCGATCAGAAATTTCGTCATGGAGGTCGTGTCTTCACTCTCCCGCTTGCGGATGATTGTCGGCGGCTGCAGTCCCCGATGCGGAATTGTCTTGAAGAAAGTTAGGTGTTGCTGCAAATAGCATTAAAATGATAACATACTGGACATGTTTATTAAAACACTAAACCGGGAATGCAACTCAGAAGTTTGCAGATGTTGTTTCCTCCGTACTTTCTCTTCAATAGGTCACTTAATAGGCAGGTTTTCAAACCCTTGATAAAGAAGGACTATTTTAATGAAAGCCCGACTTTTGCAAAGAGCTACGGCAGGACCTCTCCTATATACAGTGTTCACGATTATCTCTGTGAGGGAAAACTGCCTCCGCAGGCCTATCACGAATTTATCAGCCTGGTGCTCATGTGGAAAGCCCAAGAAAGGCAGAAGCAGATGGGACATAGCTACACATAGTGCTTGAAAATAAGAAAGAAGAGAATTCAACAGCAAAGTGCGACCCAAGCGAACAATTCAACTGATGCCAAGTGCATGGGAAACGGATAGGCTTGTAGTTTCGCCTTCAGTCGGTTAGCAATTAGACGAGAGAATCCAGTGAAGGGGCGGATTCCGCCGGTTCATTTGTATCTGCCAAATGATTCAGATGGGTTCGACAAGTATACCCGCCAATCAGGATGACAAGAAGTACCTGTTAATATTAGCTCATGACGGCAGCATAAAGCCTCAATAAACCCACCAGGACCAAGTAGGGGCATTTATCAACCTCGGTGAACCCGTAAGCTGTAAAAGCACACACTGCCAAAAAGATTGAGGAAATATGTGACGTTTCCCATCGCATGACTCTTCGGGATTGGTATCCAGGTATGGTTTTGCTTAGAATCAAGAAACTGATCGAGGTAGTAATGGTGTATTCAACCGCGGTGACCAGCAGCGCGTATCTGAGAAATCGCGGCCTTCGATTGCGTGAGCATAGTCTGGGGCTGAAAGCAAAAAAAGAGAAAAAAAAAAAAAAACACAAGAAAGAAGCAAAGCCCCGAGACGTACATAAATGCAAGAATAGTTTTAGATAAAACAGAACAGGCATGGACCAGACAACTCAAATAAACCCATTTGGAGTAAAACGGAACCCCGCGGAAAATCTTCAATTGTCGAATTGCCTTCATTGATCAGCTGCATGCAGATTTAAGGTTGGAGTGCACCTACCTCAATAACTGGCGGGAAAATGGTGCAGATGATTAAGGGAGTGTAGAGAGCATGAGTATCTACAGTGGGTTTCTCATCAACTGCATTCCAGCTTTCTGGTGGGAATACTCACCCTGCAGATACAGTCGCAAGAAACCCAACGTAAAAACTGATGTGATAGACCCAACGAGCAAAAAGAATGATAGGATTTCAGTCAAAAACATCCCTAGCGGGTGCCCGCTTGTCAAAAGGAAAATAAGATGCTGAGTGGAGAGAAGGAAAGCCAGCAGAGATGTAAAAATGTACCCAAGGTTTGGCATGTCTGCAATAAAAAACTCCATCTTGCACGATGTGAAGACGGCGGTGGAAGGCAGCTGGATGCCTTGTTGGAATCAAGGCTGATCATGCAGCATCTGCTAGCCCAAAGCGATCTAAAGGCGGTAGAAGGCCCTTTTTATGCTTCATTCTGGCTGAATGCTCCGGCAAGTGGCATTCCGCAGGTCACTGAAAATTTTGAGATTGATAACCTGGGGAACGCTGTCTGCCACCACTAAGGATTTACTAAGAAAAATAGATCCTTGACTTGGAGAGCAAGTCCATGGGCATTTCCAGAGGGTACCATAGAGCAGTGCCGGGAATATTCAACGCCAGGTGTATGCGAACAAATCTAACAAAAGATTTACGAAAAAAAGGGGTGATATGCCAGAGAGGAACCGTGCCTCAGCTCAACATGCCGACCCCCTTCACAACATTCTCAATTCCTGCCTAATTTGTAAAGAGTGAGTCCGCTCGGTATCATGGAATGCAATGCGCTTGGGAGGCATCCGCGGCCGATCCATGCAAGGAGGGAAGAGGCCATTTTCCTGCACAGCGAGGCGAGGGCAGATGGCCAGGCCGCCAGGGTGAGTTTGTTGCAGGAGATTCTAGCACTAGCCAAAAGTGGAAACACAATATTGTGTTTCCACTTTTGGCTAGTGCTTACGGTTCTATCTTCTCGCGTCTCGCCACCACTTCCATGAGAGTTACCTGTTCTGTATCCCTCAAATTTTCACTACCAAACAAAGACACAATGAGACGACGGGTTTTCTCCTTTGAAGGCAGCGATGAGGATTATATCACCTACCTTGAAACCAAGTTGCTGGAAGCTCGATGTTCCAGCTCTCCCCAGGCGGCTCCCACTCCCAATTCCCAGGCATCTTCCTTGAACTTGAGGAACGACAATTCGTGCCCAGAGTTACGTGTGTTATATTATGATCCTCGCAACGAAACGGACGGAGAGCGGCCAGGATTCTCTTCTCTGCCTGTGAATGACACGCCGCCCGGACCATTCAAGCGGCGATGTATCCAAAGGGCGAGGTGGGAGATAGATTTGGATCAATTTCTAGCGGAGATTGGACCTCTGGACAAATGGGAAGAGAAAAGAAAGCACGACTGGATTCAATCCCCTGAAAAAAATGAGCAGACGATACGGATACTACTAGGCCGCGCAACAATGCGAAGCAATTCCAAAAGTCCTACCATTCTAGATATACCATTGTCGCCTG